AATTCATCTCCCACTGTTGCAGAATCTTTACTCAAAGAACATGTTGTAGCTTGCGATTCAGGGTTTTCCTTCAAACACATAGATAACAAAGACATTGTTAAAATCTTTAATACTTTGAATAACAAAAAGACTGCAGATCTATGGGGTAATTCTGTGTACATTACAAGCTCTGTAATAACTATTGTAGCACCTGTATTGGCTCAAATCTTTAATAACTGTATTGACTGTGGTGTGTTTCCTGATCTTATGAAATGTAGTAAAATAATTCCATTATTTAAATCAGGTAGTACTTCTGACCCCACTAACTTTAGACCTATTTCAGTACTACCTACGTTCAGTAAAATTTTTGAAAAAATCATTTTAGATCAAATGCAAAGATTTTTTAATAGAAATAAATTATTACATGCGAAGCAGTTCGGATTTACAAGGGGTCGTTCAACAACTGATGCCGGTGTTGAACTTCTTAATCATATTTACGACGCATGGGAGGACTCAAGCGACGCTTTGGGAATATTTTGTGATTTATCCAAGGCGTTCGATTGTGTGCTTCATGATACACTGATCAGGAAGCTTTCCCATTACGGAATTAGAGGTGCATCTCTGGACCTTCTTACCTCATACCTGAGTAATAGGGTTCAGAGAGTCGAAGTAAACGGAATGGTTTCTGCCGGGTCTGTTGTGAAGATGGGTGTTCCGCAGGGTTCTATTCTCGGCCCGTTTTTATTTCTTATCTATATTAATGACTTGCCTTACCTTGTAAGGGATAAACACGAGATAGTGCTGTTTGCTGATGATACCTCACTATTATTCAAACTCAGACGACGACAATCATTAATTGACAATGTAAACAGTGCTCTCTCAGAAATAGTTCACTGGTTTGGTGTGAATAACTTATTACTAAACGAAACTAAAACTAAATGTATTAAATTCACAACACCAAATGTTAAACAGATAAAAACCAGTGTGCTTGTCAAGGGCGAGGAGTTGAGTCCTGTAGATACAACTGTCTTTTTAGGTATAACCCTGGACGCTAAGCTCCAGTGGGGCCCACATATAGATGGCTTGTCGAAGAAGCTCAGTTCTGCAGCATATGCCGTTAAAAAAATTAGAAATTTAACAGATATAGATACAGCACGGTTAGTTTATTTTGGTTATTTCCACAGCATCATGTCATACGGTATTTTGTTGTGGGGGAATGCTGCTGACATCCAGTCTATTTTTGTTCTGCAGAAAAGGGCTATTCGATCAATCTATAATCTTAGTCCGAGGCATTCGCTCAGAGAATTATTTAAGGAATCTAAAATAATGACAGTTGCCTCTCAATATATTTATGAAAATGTAATTCACGCTCATAAAAACAAAAGCTTATTTAAGAAATATAGTGATATACATAATATCAACACGAGGGGGAAAAACAAATATGTTGTGCCTGCCTCCAGGCTTCAGAAAATAAGTAGTTCGTTTAGGTGTCAATGTATACGCTTTTACAATAAAATTCCTAGCGATATTCAAAATTTGAGCCTCAATAAATTTAAAAGTGTAATAAAGGCTAAACTTTGCTGTAAAGCATTTTATAAAATAAAAGACTACTTAGAGGATAGCCAGGCTTGGGAATGAGCCGCTGTAATGTCTGCACAGGTCATGTTGACATGTTTGTAACATAAGTTACACTTTTATATAGAATTTGACATTAGTTTTATATTATTTTTTTATACAATGACATGATCACCTATTGTGACATTTTTATTTTTTATTTGACATTTTTTTTTTATTTATTTGTTGACATTTTTATTATTTTATATTATTGTTAGTGTAAGGACCGTGTGAGACTTGTCGTGCTTTTTTATCACCAGTCATCTGCGTTCTGACAGTTTGAGTACTTGTGCGACCCACCCAAATGTTCTTTTGATCGGTATTGTTCGTCGGACAACTCAACAGCACTAGCTATATGGTTGCAAACTGACACTTGCGTGCCTGTCTTCAGAACGGGTCCACTTAAACTGGTGTGGTTCTTTCCTCAAAAGACCACTACAGAATGAACTTGCACGGTTCTCTCACATTATGTTATTTTATATTGTCTGGACTTGAAAAGAGACTGACCTCTGAGTTTGTTTCGGCATTTCTTCTCAGAGTAGTCAGATAGGAAATGCCGGCTTCATCTAGTTTTTCACATATAATTTGACGTGTAAAAGTGCCGTTTTAAGGCCTATTTGCAAAAATAAATTCATTGTTTCATTGTTGTTTCATTGTTTCATTGTTTCATTGATGTCAATGTTTAAAATACTTTATGATTTTATAATTGTTTGTCAAAATACATATTTTTTTTAATGACGGTAAGCCGGTAGATTGAATACTTATACTTGATGGTACCTAAGCAATCGGCACCGCCCGTGCACACTTGCAACACCACAGTTACGAGTGTTTTACCAGCCTTTTCGGAATTAGGTTTTCGGAGATTTAGGAATTGGGGAGGGATTGTAGGTGAAAAAGTATTGGGCCTCCGGTAAACTCGCTTACACGACGAAACAACGCTCTGGTTTCACGCCGGTTTTCTGTAAGGCCGAGTCGACTCCCACACTTATGTCATAAACCATATATGCTATACACACATTGGGTTCACAGGTACATAGAATAGGGATGAGGCATATAATGCGCCCACCCTTCGAGAAGAAAGAGTGTTGTGCACAGTGAGGCTTAAGGGTGCAGTAGAAGCAGAAGAGCTGTGTCGCGATTCACCAATCACATGGCTTGAAATCCACATTCGAGATAGATCCACATTAGAGATGTGGATTTCAAGCCATGTGATTGGTGAATCGCGGCACAGCTCTTCTCCGCTCTGCTCCGCTCCGCCTCATTGGAACTGCACCCTAAGGAGACGTAAATTTTCCTAAGGGCGGCAAAGTACTTATAAGAAGTAGCACGGATAAGTATGTAGGTACTAAGTACCGTAGCTGGCGCTGCACTGTAAGTCTGGAGTTGGTTTATTCAAAGGCATCACCCCGATACTTCTTACAGGTTCTGAAGGTACCGTGGATTTTTGTGAGATTAGAATCCCACAATCTTATTTCTTTTTTCCAAAGAAATAGGATTAGATATGTACAAAAAACCCTCAAATATTATTACAATTCTTCACGATATTATATTTGGGAAATACCGTATTTTTGATTGATTCGTTAGAGAATCAATTTTTTACCTAAAACGTGTCGGATTAAGGTAGATAACACGTGTCTGTAAGCTTGCAAACATTTGATGGATTAATAGGTACATAAATAAAGAAATAAATTGATAATACCCAATGATTACATTTTATTAATTCCAACAAGGCCATCATAGGATTAAAGTAAATCTTCAATACATAAAGGTAATAAAAAAATATAACAGTAAACCTTTTATAGCCCTATATCTTGTTCTATTTCCCTACTTACTTAGATATGAACCTATCTAATAGCGGAACTGGGAAAGTACCTTACCCTGACCTACATTACACAAACAATTCAACCATTAATTTTTATTTACTAAAATAGATTTATAAATTGCCTGGCCGTAAAACAGCACTGTTACACGACAAAATTGCATCAAAGAATCTAGATGACGGACATTTCCTATCAGACTTCTCTTAGAAAAAAATGCCTGAAAGAGTTCATAGGTCCGTCTATTTAAAGTCTAGAAATTATGTACTCGTAAATATTATGTGCGAAAACCGTGCAAGTTCATTCTCTACTGGTCTTTTAAGAAAAGAACTAGGTACTACCATTTTAAATGGACCCGTACTAACAGCAAGCACGCAAGTATTAGTTTACAACCAGCTGAAGCAACACGTGTTGCTGGATTGTCCGACCAAAAGAACATTTGGGTAGGCGAACAAATACTCAAACTATCAGAACATAAATAATAAGCAGTCGTAGTGACGCTAACAGTAATCGTAAATAGTAGATAAATTTGTAGAAATATATACGAGAACAGAATGGATAATCGTATTTTTGGAAAAAGTGGTTAGCAACCTGGGGTTGCGACGGGTGCACTCTTAATAATATGCAGTCCCAGTTCTGAGAAGGAGAAGGAAAGAGATGGTAGATGGTTATTAGTCAGTAAGAGTCTGACTCTCCCTTTCGCTCCACGCAGGAAGGGATGATTTATTTATATTATCATGTATTGACTGCTGACTGTCCGAGCGCAGATCTAAGCGAGACACAATGTGTTTTCTATTGTGTCTTCTATACCGGACGCAGTAGTGGTTAATTAGTAGAACTTATTAAGACTACCTACAGAGAAGCCGGGGTTGCAGATGCAAGCACCATAATGTACCGCGGCCGTGGACGGGACAAGAGTGAGGTGGTTTTTAAAAATATGAAGCTCGCTTTTGCTGGGCGGGACAAGTCATTTGATGATAATTGAATTTGGCTCTTAATAGAAACACAGTTTAAGTAAGTATTCCCATATTAAATTTTCGGTAGGTAGTGGCGTGGCATGAACTGTTAAAGACTAGGGCAAATTGCTATCCTTTTATTATTATTAGGGATTTAAGTAAGGGAGCATAAGGGGAGGGGGGGGGGCGTGATGGGGCGATGGCCCAGGCCGACAAATTCTGGGAGAAGCCAAGGTCTGAATTTGGAGTCTCTAGCCACTCCTGGTACTGACACAAACCTTTCTGAACTCTGCTTTACGCTCTGTGCGTATGCATATTTTTTATTGATTTTTTTTTTCTTGGCGTCGGCAATAAACTGACACTTCATATTGCTTCTCTCAAGTGGGCGCCACAATATTTTCGCCCGGGGTGTCAGTAGCTTACGCCGGTACTGATTATCAGGATCACAACGGCCCACACTGCCCATACCTAGTTACGCCATTGTATGTAGCAACCATTTTTTTGTAAGTTACGTCATAATTTTAGGTCATAATATTTGTTTTTATTATTAATAATATGTAGTTCACTACCCTGAGTACTAACTAATATGCAGTCATAAAGGAAGATTGAGGGAGATATAATGAGAACAAAGAACATAAAATAAATTATATTATATTTGTGATCAGTCGAGGTATTTATAGGTACTGCCGGATGAAGCCGTCGAAACTGGTGACTCGAGCGAAAGCTGAAGGGAACCCGAGCGAGCATCCATTGCGAGCGACGAAAGAGCTGACACCAATCTGAAATAAATAATGATGGTTTTTGTATGGAATAAGGAGACAACCTAGCGTGTTGTAAGTAAGTATATTACGGTCTTTTGGTTTGGAAGAATTTAGGACAGAAGGGTATGCAGTAAAGTTTGGGCCTCTGTTATGAGGTTAAACTAAACGTAGACAAAAAGAATTCCCCAAAAAGTAAGATATGCTGCGTTAAGTTTAAGCAAGTGACTGTGTTAATAGTCATCTTTGCAATTAAACATATGCTTACAGCCTTTCTGTGTCCTATTTGCAAGACTTACCAAAGTAGGAACACCGTTCTGGTTAAGGACTAAAGGACCGCCAGAGTCACCGCCGCAGATACCGACGCCTCCGGCACCGTTGGTGCAGATCGTGCTTGGAACCACAAACGCGTTGCCGAACACAGCCTCACAGGCCGCAACGCTGATGACTTGCAAGTTTACGTGACTCACGATCGTGGATGCACCCGCTTGTTCTGTAATTGAGTAGATAAGTATTTTAAATAATTTACTGCTCATTTATTTAAAATAGTGTATGTTGCTAGCGATCACTAAATAGGTGCATTTCTTTTTGATAACATGTTAACACTTATTTTAAGGATGCCTGCGTTCGCGCACCTGCGTTATCGCACCTATTGTTCTTCTATTGTGTCTCGAATTAAGACTATTAAGAGGTTAATTTACATTTAATGTGAAATAAATCATAGTTTGATACTTACGGTCGCTGGTTCTTCCGAATCCTGCAGCAACTGCCCAGTTTCCAACAAAAGTGTTCGACAAACTGGCCGGAAGAGCAATGGGCTGAATGCTATCTGAAAATTCAAAGGACAAACATTTATGCTACTATACAAGATAATAATAGGTACTGTGAATATGGGTCGTTTAGTTATTTTACCCTCTCCTTTACAGTCAAAGTCAAAGTCGAAACCATTTTTTCCAACTCAACCATAAATAGGTACTTTTGAAACGTCAAAATAGAATAGTAGTCTGTCAGCCTGTTCGTCAGCGAAGCTAAGTGTTCGTTCCAAATTGTAGATTCGAATGGAGAAGAACGAGCAAGAAAAAATCTTCATTCCACGAACGTACTCAAAAGTATTATTATATCGTATCGTAACTGTCGTTACAACTATATTACAACTACAAAATAGTTGAGAAATTTGGTATCAGCAACGCACCAGTGCAAAGCCGGGGCAGGTCGCCAGTGTTTCTATACTACCTACACATTGCCGATATATTTCCAAATAATCTCAGATGTTTGCCAAAATCTAAGGTCATTGGTTGTCAGTGTCACGTGCAAGCAATATTTATTTACAATATGAGTTAGTAAGATTACTAATTTTGATCTTGATATAAAAAGTTAATTCATTTTAGTAGACCGTAACGCCAAATCTTATCAGCTTATTAATCGTTCTGGCGTATTTCTTATCAAACTAATTGAGTTAATTCACATTTAATCTTTGATAGTAAATATACGCAGCCGGACTCTAATTACTTACTGCTGAATAGAATGCTGGTAGGCAGTCTGATGATGGCGATGTCATTGTTGAGGTTAGCAGTAGAGTATTGTGGGTGCATGATGACATCGGAAGTGGCAATGCGGGTGCCGCCAGAGAATAGGAGGTTGGATCCAAGGATAACGAGGAACTGCCAGGCTTGGTTCCAGCCATCGGTCCAGCAGTGAGCCGCTGTCACAGCACGGCTGGCAGACACGAGTGAGGAACCGCAAACTGAGTTTCCAGATACACCAACTAAGCTGATCAGCAGGCCACCCTGTAATGGAGTTGGTTATCAATTCACGACGATGATGCAACAATACCGATTTCAAATTGGCAAGGAGGTAGTACTGCTCTAAATATCCAAATCAAACTATTCCAAATATTATAAATGCGAAAGTAACTGTGTCTATTGTCTGTCTGTCTGTCTTTTCTTCACGCCTAAACTACTGAACCGATTTGTGTGAAACTTGGTACAGACATAGTTTGGAACTTGGGAAAGGACATAGGGTAGGTAGTTTTTTCAAAAAATAAAAATTATTACGGACGTACAGCGCCACCTATTGGTCGGGATCAATTCAGTACTATAAGACATTTATACGCATGCGCTTGACACACGTGTTTGGTTCATGTTATTGTGTTAATTCAGCATAAATAATTAAGTAAATAGTAAAAAGTAGTATTATGTTGGTAAAATCAAAAATCTGCAGGAAGTCACTATTCCGCGCGGACGAAGTCGCAGGCAAAAGCTTGTATCAAAATAAAATTAATCATATATTTAGCACTGAAACTTCTTTCAAATAGCGTCATCCGCACTATAGCGGAACCTCGGCCGCTTGACTTGTTCATTTTCTTTCTTCACAAAATTACACGTTTCGTGTTATCAAATACGATACCTTTTTATTATTTTATGCTTTTGATTAATTGAAACACGTGATAAATTGATAGAATAAACGATATTTTCTCGCTGAATTTAAATAGACCACGTAAAACATTACTTACAAAGTATGGGTGCGCGTTAGCGGGCGCGATAGCACCACCGACAACCCTGTTGTCTGAAGCTTGTGCTGCCAGAAGCTTCTCCTCTTCAGCTTTGATCTTCTCTGCGGCAGGAATACCAATGGTTTGGTGGTATCCGGTCCCTACTTCCACTAGGGCGGACGTTGAAACCACCAGAACCAAGCCTAACAAAACAACAGCACGCATTGTGTCAAAATATTGTAACTAAATATAACGAGTCGATATCTAAATCCACTTATATACCTTCTGTCCATTAAATCAGATCTAATCGTTCATAATGATTGGTATGCAATTATATAAAAGCCGATTACTTTTATCGAGACAGGCAGAGCTGTCAGATAATAATGTAATCTGTTTACAAATTATACTTTTTTTATTTGTATTATTTACATGTATTTTTTTTAGTATTTACTAAAATCAATCCATGTTGTATTGATTTGGGGATTTATTTCATTTGTCATTAACAAGAGTGTTCATTGCTTTCTGAACTGCCGTAAAATAACTGTTTTATACTCTTGAATGAGCCGTTTCCTTAACATCAGTTTCGAGCGAGTTGAAGTAAAAAAAATATCCAGTAGGGGATTTTTGAATATGTGTATACCGTTGCGGTTTATGTTTAATCATAGATCCTCAAACATCGCTCTAAACCCTACGACACAGGGCTCGTTTTTTTTATGTAATAGTTTGACAAACGAGCAGACGGATTACCTGATGGTTAGGAATCAGCGCCGCCCATGGACACTCGGAACGAAGGAGTTACGAGTGCGTTGCCGACCTTTTAGGGATTAGGGATTTGGAGATTTAGGGATTAAGGAGGGATTGGGGGAGGGGAAGGATTGGAGCTCCGGTAACCTCACTCACACGGCGAAACACAACGCTGTGGTTATTTCACGCCGGTTTTCTGTGAGGCCGTGGTATCACTCCAATCGAGCCGACCCTTTCGTGCCGAAGCATGGCTCTCCCACACTTAGCATGGCTCTCCCACACTTGATCGTGGTAGTTTTATGACTCTTTGAGCGTCTGATTCTGGTCGATCGGCGAGCTACCCTTGGTCGCCGTCCGCAGACCCACGATTACGGTAGCTGGAGATCGTCGCGCGATTCCGTAGGTTCCGTCGCTTTCTTAACGAACATCACTGCTTCGCAGAAAGAGGGGTCGGATTCAAAGTTCCTATCGGTTCTCGACTAAGAACACGGACGCCCTGAAGATAGGTGTTGAGCCGAGACAGGCCACCCCGCCACCAAATGCTTCACCGTATTCTCCGAATGATCCTCACAATGACAACACCCCGACGTTTCCTACCGCTGGATCCTAAACAGATACTTTCCAAAAATTTCATGTTCTATATGGACATGCACCGAGCACAAGCTGAGGACGCCATTGGTCGTGGCACAACTGCCTAGCAATTCGGAGAATATTTGAAAAATATTCATGTTATTAACGAAACTCAATTCGATCAGTATTCGCAAATTGCAAAGAGGCTTACTGGGCTATAAATGAGGCGGCTTTAGCGATGATATATGTGTGTATAAGTAAATAATTAAAAATCTACAAATAAGATTGTATTGAGACCATCAAGTGACGAGTAAATAATTCGTTAAATTGTTAGATAATGTATATATTGACATCAATTATAAACCATAATTTTATCGCCTATTTACATATTTTTATTTGAAAACACTTTGCCCCCACTAAAACTTTCTCCTGCATCGTGGGTGCGTTTACAAACATTCAAATTAGTATAGGTACAAATGCTACCCAGATTCGAAACAACAATTTATGGATCACAAAGAGTATTGATCTATTATTGCGGGAATCCAAACCTTCGACAGATTGTACAGCAGCCATTCAGCCAGTTGGCCAGACACTGTGTAAACCGCGCAAGCAATTGCGATTCCTGATTTTGAATCAGAAGTCCAAAATTATAGCAGAATGATTTCCAGAAGTCATACTGTACAATATGAGTACAGAGTGCCTTGAAACCAGGGATTCCCGAATGAAACGATATACCTCAGAACAAGCCAATTTTATTCTTCTGAAGTTTGCTATATTCGGTATTATACCTACCATTTGCCGTGTAACGAAACCATATCGCCATTTAACTCGATACATTTAACACATACTTTGTCGTCAATGGTTATATAGCTATTCACTATTAGACCAAGTTTGATAAGAGAACTAAAAAGATAAAAGTATTTAGTGGGAAATATAACTTATCACATTATCTTTGCTGGTAGGTACCGCAGAAATCAGAGCTAAATTTGATGACGTCTTTGCAAAATGATGACCTCATCATCATTTTAAAATACAAACAACATTTGCGTAAAGGCAAAGGGACTCACATGATTTATTTGTCACAAGTGATTATTATGTGAAATCACAACTTATCGGGTCTTAATTCGATACCATTATCAAAGTAAATTGATAGGAAAGTCAGTGTGAACTTGTAAGTATCAACGGTCTAATTAAAAACGCTTAACGATCGTTACATATGTTACAATTAAAGTAAAGTTACGTACCTTTATTGAGAATCTTTTAATATTTTTTTACTTCAACGTTGCGTTTACGTTTACGTTTTCTGCTCCTCGTCCATCATTGTTTATTTATTTTTTATGATTTCCCACACTAGTATTTTCTCCTTTTTCCTACACCCTTTTGTCATATACCCTGAGAAATTTCACGTACATACACGTGACAAATAAAAATGTATCACTCTAAAATTGTTCTAAACTGTGAACCCGAGACATTTGCCATCTACACTCATTAATTTAATTACAGTATTATCCTGCCTATTTACCAGTCACCATCAAACATTACCTATATCCGTTTAATAGGCCCAGGCTCAATCTAATTTTAAAATATGTTAATGAATCAAGCTAGTTGTGAATCTATAGGTATAGTGCGTTTGCAATATACTTATGAGTAGGCCACATGGAAGAAGCAGATTGCAGCCACGCTGAGAAATTTTCTCGAACTTATGAGATACTAAAATCTAAATAATTCACACAGCTAATACAAGTGTGCCCATACCTTTATATTAAGTAGGTAATGCGTATTCAAGGAAACCCCCTGGTTCCGGCTTACAGATTCGATAAATATATTATTTAATACTTAATTATATCTGAGTTAAAGAAAAGCCCCCGACGTCGAAAATAAGCTTATTAGTTTAATATTAAGATTTCTAGCAGTTTATCTGATTAGACTAATTTTCTACTTTTCCTTTTATAAGGTAACAAGGCTCTATGATCAAAACTCCAGCCATGTCTAAAAAATACTTGTGAATCATGATAGTATCTGGAAATTAATCTGGAATCAAACTCCAGCTTCCGCGTCAAAAAGAGTCAAGTCTCCCTTTCGTCTCACCCAGGTCGAGAGGAGTCATTTAATGTTTTTTCACCACAAAAATAAGCTTCGATCTCATAGTATCAATTTTCACCAGACTATTCTGAATAGACTATAATACGGCAACAGGATCTGGTATCACAATATTAGAAGAACAGAAAAAAAACAAATAGTACGTATAAAAAGTACAATTTCTTTATTTTAAAATCAGTCAGTATTTGCAATATTCCCATATTATTAGTATTTACATGTGTTGAGAGATGAATCCGATGAAGCTGGTCACTCGAGCGAAACCTGATGGGAAACCGTTTTGGCACATATTGTATGCAGCAAACGAACTGATACCAATCTGAAAAACAAAGAAATTATTTAATTTAAGGTTTTATAATCGAACAAAAACAGGATTGAAGTCAAGGTTATTATCATAGATATTGAGTAGGTATTGGGTTATAAATATACCAAACGGATAATATCAAAAAATTGTTTAAGTAAATATAGAAATTCCTATGGAAATGTTATTGTAAGTAATCGAGTACTGATCAAAAGTGACATAAGAAAGGCCACACAGGATAATAAAAAATGACTCACCAAGAACGGTTCCCCGTTGTTGTCGTAAGCAGCAAGAGGGCCACCAGAGTCGCCACCGCAGATACCAACGTTTCCTACTCCACTGGTACAAAGAGTGCTAAACGTCACGTAGCCAGCCTGGAACCGTTGTGCGCATGTGTTTGTGTTTATCACCTGCAGCGACACGTGGCTCACCACAGATGCAGAAGTCTGTTGTTCTATAATCAAATGTAAAATTTACAGAAGCAATTTCATACTATCGCGCAAGATGCCTGGAAAAGGCTTGTCCTTTGTTACCTTAGCTTTGGTTAGCTTTTTATTTTGGTTCTTTAGAATGAGGTATTATTGGACAATTATTTAAGTTGTGAAAGGTACTTATTTGTATCAAAACTATTCAACGAAATAATATAAAAGAATAGATCAGCTTGTAACTAAGAAAGCAGACCAACACGACGGTTAAGTCAGTTAAGGTTAAGGTAATTACTAAAACGGACACTTACGGTCGCTAGTTTTTCCGAAACCAGCTGCCATAGCCCAATGTCCCTCAAACTGGTTCCACAATTCCATATTTCTGGGTAATCTGATGGGACGAACATTTGCTGAAAAAAAGTTATATAATGAATAAAAGTAAAAATATCTTAGAAAAAACTATGCGATGCAACGAACATACTAAATTAAATATTCTACGTGTTATGATGTTTAAACGTACCGGTCATCGTGGCACTCCAAGGCAGGTATATCATAGCAACGTCATTTGTAAGGAACTGAGGCACATATTGAGGGTGCATGAAGACCTGTCGTGTAGAAATACGTTCACCGCCGCTGTGCAGCCAGTTAGAGCCCAAGATAACAGTGAACTCCCACGCTTGCCTGCTGCCGTCGAACCAGCAGTGGGCAGCAGTCACCAGTCGATTTAAAGACAACAATGAAGAACCGCATACTGATCTGGATGTAGTACCAACTAAGCTGATCAGCAAGCCCGCCTGTAAAGAGTAAAACGTTTTAAATGAACATAACGAGGAGCTAAAACAAAGATGATATGAAAATTAATAGGTACATCGGAATATAGAGATGAAAACTTTTTAAACACACTGAACACTTGACGATGAAGTTCGTCAACAGGTACATTATACCAAAATAATGTACCTTTTAATAATGCGTCACATATGTGGAGTTATATAAAGTTTCATTTAAAATACACCAACTTTTAAATTTAGTTAAAAGTACAAATGCGATATTTAATTATTTATAAAATTTCCATCTCCTTCGTTGTCGAAACAGTTTCTTTATTACAGCGTTATTTACTCACAAAGTATGGATGAGCACCAAGGGGTGCTAGTGCCCCTCCAACGATTCTGTTGTCATTAGTAACAACCTCATTGGCTAGACTTGCATCTTCTAGTGCCTTGATCTTCTCTGCAGCAGGAATACCGATGGCATCGTGGTAGTTGGTCTGTACTTCCAATAAAGCAGAAGCACAGACAATCAGAGACAGACCGAACACTAAACTCTTCATTTTTTAATGAATACATAAAATAAAATGTGTCATTCTTTTATATATCTAAGCTAATCAAAATTTCAGGCGCTGATTAATATAATCGTGGGTTTTCTTTGTCATCAAAACAAATTATCTAATCTTTAGGAAGTTTAAACATATTCCGTTTTTTTTTACTTCGCAGTAAATTTTGTTACTCACAAATTGATCGTTAAAATGTAGTGATGGTACTTTTATTGACGTTAGGAAGACCAAAATACCGGTACTTAAGCTGGTTGATAAATCAGCCCTCGGGCTATGGTCTTCTGCCCAAATTACTCATACATTTAGTAGTTGTACTGTCGGGATTGTGTTTGCAAGAAGTGTGAAAAAGGTCTTCTCCAACAGTAAGTCACATCCAGAGATTTAAAAAAAAATAGTCCTTTTAGTAAGCCTTTCAGTAAGTTAATGATATTGCATTACATATGTGATATCATTAGTGGATACATATTTTGATAGGTACCCGCAATGGTATTCAGTATAAGTAACATGGTATAGATAGGTTACATAAACAACATTCAATTTTCAAAAACGGCACTCTTATGCACACATGAATAAATCGTATGATACACGTTAAAGTGGGATGGCATGATTCAATAATCGCGAGTGAAAAAGAGACAAATATGAAAATGTGTGGCTAGTTAGCCACATTTTAATGTATTACTTGCTGAGCGCTTGTAACCTATCTATACCTTTTTACCATCGATCACTAATAAAGAACTAGATACACAATCAGTGGCAAAAAAATGTCCCAACTGAAAGTCCACCAAACTCAACATCGCGGTGTAGTTTTAGTTTAGTACCACTCGAATGCTCCGACGGTAAACACGCCTCAGTGCTCGTTAAAAAACTGCAAAAACACACACATCTAAGATGCAAAAAAGGATGGAATTTCATATTTTCGTTAAGTAATAATAATGGAAGTGGGGATGCACCAAGATGTTGTCGCTGTGGACAAAGGACTTACTGCGCTCTCCTTAGCTAACGAGAATTGGAGAAAACCTGTAGTACTAAGCACTAAGGACCGTAAGGATGTATGGCAAAGCAAAGAGCTGCACGGACGCTACTATAGGGCTTTACATGGGCCAGAGGTAGACTTCTTAGCGTCCGTATCCTGGCTACGTTTCGGCAACTTATTTGGTGAAACAGAAGGTTTTGTCTGTGCAATTATGGACGAAGTTATGCTGACGAACAATTATCGAAAATATATTATAAAGGATGGTACGGCTGACATCTGTCGGGCATGTCATCGCCCAGGGGAATCCATCCGACATATAATTTCGGGTTGTTCTCACCTAGCTAATGGAGAGTACTTGCATAGACACAACCTCGTGGCCAGGATTATCCACCAGCAACTTGCTTTAAAATACAAACTTGTTGAATCTGAAGTGCCGTACTATAAGTATCTGCCTGACCCAGTTCTCGAGAATGGAGATGTCACACTGTATTGGGATCGAACTATCATCACTGATAGGACAATTGTAGCCAACAAACCTGACATTGTGATGATAGATCGATCTAGCCGTCGCACAATGATAATTGATATAACAATCCCACATGACGAGAATCTTGTGAAAGCTGAAAAAGATAAAGCAAGTAAATATCTTGATTTAGCTCATGAGATTGTCGACATGTGGGATGTAGAATCAGCAATCATTGTGCCGATAGTCGTGTCTGCCAATGGTCTCATGGCTAAAAGCCTTGATAAACACCTAAGCAGGCTTACGTTAGATGGTTGGGTCAAGAATCTGATCCAGAAAGCTGTACTTCTAGACACGGCGCGCATTGTCCGGAGATTCCTATCTCTGGAACCCTGACCACCGGTTGCTTGGAACCCTCCCGTAACCGGTGGGATACTGCTTTTTATATTTTTAAGTGTTTTTTTTTTTGTTTTATGAAAATATTTAAAAATGTAAAAATCAAGTTTTAAAATAAATAAAAATAATTATCATTATATAATTGTCATCATTCTATTTTAAATATTGATATTTTATTAAGAAATCAACTTTAAAACTTTTTCCAAATGAAATCGTATTCAAAAACCGGGGTTATAATGCACACAGTTTATAAAGACACTTATACTAAACTTAAAATTATTCTCTAGCATGACCACTTAAGTTGTTCGGTTTACGTGGATTGATTCTGTTCCGTTTAGTGGAGACGCTATTGTTTCTAATTTTATTTATTGTTTTTTTTATTAAAAAATAGTTTTTATTTAATATTATACTTCTTTACTGTGTTTATTAAAATATGGAATAGGCAGATGTAATGGATTTAATTTTAACTGCAGTAAAGAAATTTTTTTTAACTTTCATCAAGACCCCTTCGATATGAAAAATTGACAACAATAACGCCAACATTTTCAATACTTACTTTAGATATATATTCTTTTTATTATTTTACATCTTTTTTATTTGACTTCGAATAGAAAGGATTAAGGAGGACGAAAATAAAAAAAAAGAATTATAACTATATGCATTAGTTTCATTGGTAAATAAATGAATAAACCTATAGAAAAGAATACTATAAGTAATGCGTTTTAATTTGCGTATTTTCTTTTTTTGATAAATTATAAAATACGAAAGAAATATATTTCTTACGAGACATTTCGACTCCAATCATTCTTTGTCCTAGCGGTGAGCCGAAGTCACAGTATAAATATCATACAGTATTTTAACTCGGCCGCTTGAAAGAAATAAATACCTACAGCCGCGCCGTACGTAAACATGCGTTAGGGCTGCTCGTCTCCAGTATTTTAATTACCTTTGTCTACTTTCTGTTTCCATTTAGTTTTGTGATTGTAAATATCCTTTTTTTATATAAACAAATAAAGTGCTTTAAAAATAAACAAACAAAATTTCTTTGGCCACTAAAGCCGAACTAAACAGCTCACTACGAATGTTCTAAAATCACAACCCTCAAACATCAAAATATTACATGAGTTTAGCTGTTTTATTGTTGTTATTAAATATTTTCTAGTATTATTCATAAACGAAGATAATAAACAAATATTATTAATAATAAAATACCACACTCTCTACTTTGAAATTTGAATTAAACAAACTAACAAACCATACATGAACCGTTTTAACACAAGCGTAAGTAGGTAGGTAGGTAAATAACGTATGACGTCATGATTCATTCAGAACCAGAACCGCCTATAACTACCTATTTCACTCGTCTCAATAACTTTATTCATATTATTTATAAATTCAAACATCTGTTTTCGTGAGATAACTGGAAATAATGATCCATAAAGACACACATAAGGTACCTACCTATGCTACTAGTAAGTAAAATTATTTTATAGTCTTACCTTTCAGAGTTTCCAGTTAATTTAAAAAAAACTTATGTCTGGATGCGTTATTGACGAATTCATGCAACCAAACATAATAACAGCACAATATTTCCTATTCGTCATATTAAATAATGTACTCGAGCTGATTTCTAAATAAAAGACAACACACCGTCCGTTCGTCACTGCGGTACAGCCGCGTCTGTCTGCGTCCCGAGCGCGTCCCGACATCGGGCGCGTAGGTATAGTTCGCGTTTCGGCCGTTTCTATGAAGTTGAAATACTTGTAGATATTATTACCTTGCCGAAGTCGTTAAATTTTATTGCTTATTTTTGACACTTTGTAAATTCGACTTAAAAACATGCGAATATGGTTCAATTTCTTATGATTTGTGTTTGTCAAGAGCTTCGGTCGCAAAAAGTATTAAGATTTTGTACATCACTTTGTAAAAACAACTCTATGAGTTGCATTTAAGGTTTAATTTACATTAATGCATTTTTATTTCAAGTATAAGTACCTAAATACAGTTGGCGACAGTTTTGAAGCGAACTTTTGTATGGGATTGTGTATCTAGTTCTTTATTAGTGATCGATGCTTTTTACTTATAATATCATTGGGTACCCGCATCACATAGGCTTTATGAGCTATTCGTGTAACCGTCCTATCGAATGAATGTTCTATTCTTTCTATTTACCTTTAATAATAACAATTATCTTATCGTTGTGTTTTCTAGGTATAGCGCGTGTGTTTCTTTTTGTCGATTATTGATTTGTTGTTATTTCTTTTCACAATTGTTTTTCACAAGGTCGTTATAGTACCTATGTAAGGGCGCTATTTTTTGGCATTACACGCTCACACTTGGTGGATACACTAAGATAATACTTACATTTCATTATATACTTAGCCAATCAATCGAATTACATTTTCTCTAGCTTTACCGTTAATGAATTCAGGCCTTCTTGCTAAACTCAGCGTCGCTCAGCGCGCGATGGAGCGAGCTATGCTCGTGGTCTCTTTGCGCGACAAAATCCGAAATGTGGAAATTCGCCAAAGAACCAAAGTCACCGACATAGCTCGTAAAATCTGCTGGCTAAAATGGCAATGGGCAGGCCACGTCGCTCGAAGAACGGACGGTCGATGGGCCCGAAAAGTGCTAGAGTGGCGACCAAGGACCGGAAAACAAAACGTAGTGTGGGCAGGCCTCCCGCTATGTGGACCGACGACATCGTCAGACTCGGGGGGAGCCAATGGATGCAGGTGGCAACTTGTCGTTCAGCGTGGAGAGCTAAGGGAGAGGCCTTTGTCCAGCAGTGGACGTCTTCCGGCTGATGACGATGATGATGATAATGATGACCGTTAATGAAAACTGATTTATAGTCCTGTACATAAATCATTTGGATTATAAAGTAATCACGTATAACTGATTATTACGTAAGTGTATCATAATAATAATAAAATAAGGGATTATGATAAAAACTATAAATATTATTTTGATTTGAATTGAATGTTATATCCTGATTGTTCTACTCTTATCTAAATAGTTGTTACTCAAGTCTAGCCAAATAAAACAAATAGCGTGATTCGTCATTCTCGTGAAATTCTCGGGAATCTAGCAAATTAAAGTTTATTTTAAATACCTAGTTAATATTTTTATTAATTCAACTTAACTTTAGAAAAAAAACAAGTTTTAGCTGGAGAGTTACTAAACCCTCCGAATAACAGTCTTGCTTGTCTGTTGTTTATTCTATAAATATCATATTCCCGAATTTCATTTGCCCGGATGTTATGTGTGCCTTATGACAAACTTAATTGTCAGAAACTTGATGCCATATGATATACGTGCGTAGGTATTGGTTTTCTTATTTTTAAATGCCATAATATTAAAACACCGTAATAATCATTACATAAGGTTTTTAATTAGTAATAATAAATTGCCTTCGAATCTTCCCCGAAGGCTTGGTTGAAAAGTCAGAAACTCAAATTTTAATGGAGTACGGAACTAGGACGTCCATGGATTCTTAAATTGAAAGAAGTAAGTCAAAATTTTTATTAATATTTTGATCATTATTTTGCATTAATAGATATTGGTAGTTGTATACTAGCACCGAAGGTAACTCGAAATTATTGTACTTGTGTTTTACTTCTAGTGAAAGTAAAAGTAGCAAAAGGATATGCGTCGACAGGAGCTAATTAACCTAACCATTACAACTCATAAGATTCTACTAAAGACCAGAGGTTGTGTGTAACATGTATATATAGTGCAGACCTAACTACTACGATATAGTATCGTAGTAGTTAGGTCTGCACTCTCACAAAAGTGGAAACATAGACGATGAGAGATTCGTTGTAATGTTATAACTCACCAAGCCTTAACTGATTTGGCTAATTATAAAAATTTTAAAAATATCTTGAAATGTGTAAAATCGACACCCACGCGGTATAAATACATAAATTAAGTCTTTATACTGAGTTAGCCTATATACAAAAACTAGGTAATGTATGATATCTCTTATTCAAATACAAATATTCTTTATTGTGGTACATAGGTAAACAGTGAGTTGTTACATTATTTTTAAATTGTGCACAGCTATGACCCGCCTTAATGGAATACAATAATTTTAAGGTAACATTTTATAAACTTTCAATTAGATTGTAGATTAATTCACATAATAATATCAAGGCTGCAATTAAAATTATAAGCATTAATTATAAACATAAACACAAATTATAAACTCAATCAAAATTAAATAACATCATCCAAATAATCCTTTAGAGTATAGTAACATTTGTCTATTAACAATTTAAATAATTTCTTTTTATAATTATGTAATTCTATATCTCTAATTGTTCTAATAATTCTATTCCTAGGTATATGTAAGCTAATCTTGTCTTTGTTTCAGACGCTGACTAATATAATCGCCGGTTGTCTATGCCATCACTCATCAATGACAATTATCTAATCTATGAGCAGTTTAATGAATATTTTGTATTAACTGTCGAGCGATAAACCAAATTTATTGGAAATAATAGCCTACGCCGCATGTGCCCAATAAGAGTCTCCTTGTGTTTGCGATCTGAAACTTGATGGTACTTACTTTCCATGAGGCTAAATAATGTACAGTAGTCAATTTTCCACACGTTCCTACAGAAATCTTCCAAACGGCGTTATCAGAAAGACTAGTAACTGTCGTAAGTTAACATTCGGTTGTGGCAAAATTTTGAAAACAGAATAAGGAAATTCTCCAAATTTAAAAACTAGGTTAGTCATTATGTTTTTTTTTTTATCGTTTAATAGCTTTTTATTCATTTTTGTTTTTTTAATACTTACTGAAGTAGAAGCATTTTTTTTGTGAGGGGAAAATCCTCGAATGACTTCTCCCGCCCAGGGCCGGGCGGGAGCACCTCGTTCCAGCTCATAATCCGGCACAGACGTCGGTGTATCTTTAAGCTTGTATTTATACTGAACTGTTTTATGACTTTAACATTGGCTCTTCGATTTTTAAAGTTTTCACCAAATACTGACTGCCAGCTTTAGTTTTCTATCGGGTCATTTCGACTCGGAGTTGAAGAATATTAGTAACAAGAAATACTAATCCTTAAAAATTAGTGTTGTTTCACGCCGGTTTTCTGTGAAGCTGGGTTAGTAACTGGCTGTGGCACAGATATATCTATCTTAGAAATAATAAAGTAAATATTTTACTTTAGATCCTTTATTTTTACAAATGTTGATTAATAAAATTAATGAAGCTGGTGACACGAGCGAAGCCCGAAGGGTGGCCTCCTGTGCAATTTCTGTAAGCCGTGAAGGAGCTAACACCAATCTGGAAACAAATTAACATAAATAAGGTTAAACGTAAATTGATAATTATATTTGCATGATCCCAAAAAAATAATCTGGCCTATCCATTTTTTGTTTTTTGTTGTACCTGGGGTATTAACTGCGAAAAGCTCTTAAAGTACTTTTTTTAGGTCAGAATGGGACTCTTATTCATTAGCAGTATGGTCACTATTATTTATGTCATCATTAATATGATTTTTTATTCATTTCGCTGTGTTAGTTATTTTTTATCAAAGAGTAAAACCTGGTCCCTAAGAGTTACAAACACTCACCAAGAATGGGTTTCCATTGTTGTCGAAGGCGGCAAGAGGGCCACCGGAATCTCCACCACAAATACCAATTTTACCAAATCCACTAGTGCAGAGAGTACTGGGTCTCACAATGGTTAAACCGTAAGAATTTTCGCACTGAGTGTTGCTTATCACTTGGAGCCTTATGTGACTCACGACGGTTGAGGCAGCAGCTTGTTCTAAAATGAAATTTGATTTAAAACAGAAAAAAACATTACATTAAATTTCAATGTACAAAAATGTCCACTTACCATCGCTGGTGCTTCCAAACCCAGCAGCTACGGCCCAATGTCCCACAAATTGATTCCATAACTCTAAATTACTTGGTAATCTGATCGGTCTGACAAAGTCTGCAAAAGACAACAGAGGCTTACATTGGATTCTAATTAAATAGCTATCCTGTAGAAATGAAGTGTCTGAACACCACACCACTTTTAACTGTGGGAGAGCCATGATTCGGCACGAATGGGCCGGCTCGAGCGGAGTGTTACCATAGCCTCAGAGAAAACCGGCGTAAAGCAAACGTTACTTTGTATTTCGCCGTGTGAGTGGGATAAAGGAGCCCCAAATCTTCCTCCCCTATCCTTAATCCCTAATAACTTACAAGGCAACGCACTTGTAGTAACTCCTTTGGTACTACGAATGTCAAAGGCGGTGCTGTCTGCTTACCATCATGTAATCTGTCTGCATGTTGGCCGACTTCATCATCTTCCTGCCCTTGTCCCGTTTTATTTGGGGTCGGCGCAATAAGTTTTTTTCTTCCATTCTGTCCTGTCACTCGTCACGCTATCGCTAACTCCTCTGTCTTCCATATCACTTCTCACACTGCATGTTTGCCGACTTATAACATAAAAAATACTTACTTGTAATCATAGCGTTCCGAGGTAAGTATACCATAGCAACGTCATTTGTTAGGAACTGTGGCACATACTGCGGATGCATAAAGACTTGTCGTGTAGCAATACGTTCACCGCCACTAAATAGCCAGTTAGAGCCCAATATTACAGTGAACTCTGACGCTTGTCTGTTTCCATCGAACCAGCAGTGAGCAGCAGTCACCAGTCGATTGGGGGATAATAGTGAAGAACCGCATACTGATCTCGCAGTTGTACCAAAGAAGTTGATGAGTAAACCAGCCTGCATAAGAGATCAAGATGTTTGAAGAAGGTACTAAAACTATCAGATTAATAAAACGGTAAACGTGAGCTTATTGTTATGACTTGTGTAGATTTATTAAAAATAACGACTTATCCACGTGAATCAACTGAGAAAAACTCTACTAGTTTCAAGTAAGAACGGGACTCTTATTCATGAGCAGCGTGCACGTCACGGCGCCATCGCGCAGCTAACTAGAAAAGAGTATGACCTTTTTTTTCAATAACATGATCTGTCGCACGATAGTTACTATTCAAAGACTTGTGAACCAGACCTCCTTTGGCTTGGACCTGGAGTAGAGGTCATTGCAATAAATGCAAGGACAATCTTCATCATCATCTCCGACTTCAGTGAAACCTTGTAAGGAAGAGAAATCATTTTCACTGTCAGAACTAAAATCCAAAGCTTTCGTAACCTTTCTTGTGTTTTTCTTAGGAACTGGTGGAGGAGCTGATTTTGCTTTAGCCTCTTCTATATTTGGCGTTGATGTTAAGACCAATATTGTTGGTTTCTTGCGTGGTTTCCTTTTGCCTTGTCCAGCCACATATGTTCCTATCGGCACTGGAGACAGCACGCTGACTGGAACATTGATATTCATGTCTTGGAGTATCAATTTAGATGATGTGGGTGTCGTAGGTATTGCAGTAGCGGTGTCTCTAGATTGGGCAACTGAGAGTGGAAGTGGGTTATCTGCGGCTGATGTGCTTGCAATTATCAGTGATGTCGAACTGCCTGCTTCTACCTGAGATGGACCTGATGACGGTATGCATAGGTTTTCTGCTGCCGTTGAATCTCCTTCGGGCTCTACCCGATCTTGTTGCATGGGGATATTTGTCGTCTCAGCAGGCTCAAACAAATAATCTGGAAATATGTTTGGATCAACAGGCCAGAGACCTGTTTTTTGAAACCCATTGACGGCAGTTTGAATCGTTGCTGCTTTGCCATAAGCTTTGTTGAGAATTGCACCTATTTGAAAATGAGTAACAACTCTGCCTGGATGATTCTTTAACCAAGTGCTCACTTCTTGATTAAAATATGTCTTCAGTGGCCCATAGAAAGATACGTCTAATGGTTGCATGCGGTGCGTGCAGTGAGGTGGCAAGCATACCATAATGATTCCATGCTCTTTTGCGAATTTTAAGCTTTCAATACCTTTATGACTTATATGCCCATCAACTACCAAAAGCACTTTATCATCAAGACTCGCTTTTACATGCAACTGAAAGTGCACCAACCATTTATAAAATACAGCTGTTGTCATCCAACCTGATTCCTGGGCAATACCCAAAGTACCGGTTGGAGCTTCGTCTATCAACTCCTGTTTCATGATTTTTCTAGGATAAATTAAACACGGCGGGACAAAATGGCCATTTGCACTCATGCAACAAACAACTGTCACATGAGACCCCTTTTCAGCACTAGTCAAAGTCCCAACCTGCTTACGCCCAGTAGTAGCAAAGACTTTTTGGGGTCTCTGGACTGTTGATAAAGCTGACTCATCGACATTGTAGAGCCTATGAGGAGAAATGTTGTTCCTCTGAACAATGTCTTGGTAAGTGTTAAAAAATAGTGCTACTTGCGGTTTGTTAAAGGCTTGGGCTCTTGCAGCTGAAGTCGCTTCAGGTTTCCTCAAGGATATGTCTGGGTGTCTGCGTCGAAATCCAGCCAACCATTCTTTGCCTGCCATCTTTTTTTCATTGTTGAAGTTATGAGGAATATTGTTAACGTCTGCAAACTGGTAGGCCAATTCCAAAACTTCCTTCCTTGTGAATCCAAACAATCTCGTTTCCAGTAGTTTAATATGTTCTACCAGTTCTCGTTCCATTTCAAATGTGAAGACACTCCTGTACCTACCCATACCTAAAACAATAAGGCGAGTACGTGATTAAATCCGCTCTGATCATGCTTATAACGCTACAGTTATAAAATACTATATGAGTTGGTATGTACCTTTAGTAGTTGGAGCTAAGAATTTATTTTGTTTTAGTGCATGTCTTCTAAGAGTCGACTGTGGGACATTAAATACTTTAGAAGCCAATAGCCAGCCCATCTCATTATTATTCACAGCTTCAATAGCCTTTTCCATGGAGGTTTTATCCCACCCCTGTCGGTCGGTTTTTCTAGAATAGTTACGAGGCATGATTGTTAATAATCTGAAAAAAAAGGGTGGGTCAAATGACATAGTATGCTGTTTTACCCGAACAAGGCGTATGCCATTTTGTCCACTTCATAACCTTCAACGTAAGAAATCAATAACTAAAAAATAACTAGAATTATAAGATTTCAATAGATCCCTATAGCGGGTCTATAGGGAAATTCTACGTTCTTGTTACATGATCTGTAATTACATATAACAAGAGTTTCTTTGTTACAGTTTAATTTACTCACAAAGTAGGGATACGCGCCAACGGGAGCTAGAGCTCCTCCAATGATCCTGTTGTTATTTGTAACAGCTTCATTAGCTAGACTTGCTTCTTCTAGTGCTTTTAGCTTCTCTGCAGCAGGAATACCGATAGCATCGTGGTAATTGGTCTGTACTTCTAATAAGGCAGAAGCACAGACAATTAAAGACAAACCAACTACTAAAGTCTTCATTATTACAAATACATAATGTAACGTGCCCTTCCACTTTTATATGTAAGCTAATCGTCTTTATTTTTCACGCTGATTAATATAATCGTGGGTTTTCTCTGTCTTTAACACTCATCAGTGTCAACTATCTTATCTTACAAGTTACAAGGGACACTATTACTTGCAAAAATATACGTTACGATTTCAAGTGGGTGAGCCGTGCTTCACATAAATCCGGCATACAACCAAGGCTTGCTTATGTTTTGCCGGGTAAGAGAGGTTGCTGGACCCAGGTATCGGGGATCGTGTGACGATCTCTGGTCACCGTAAGGCAGGACTTCGGATGGCGGGAAAAGATAGCTCAATCCGACCCAGAACCAGACCTATTTCATTCATACCATAGCGCACGACACATATCGTTCCGCTTGGGTTTCCCAGTCAACAAAAGTCTAACACGCCTGACTTAATTTTATCGATGTCACAGGTTTCCAACCTTATTAAGAGTCTATTAAGAGACAGCCTCCGAAGTCCCTACAATGTCCTTTAACTGTGCAATGGCCTTTACGCCACTTCTTTATGGTGACTGACGACTGCGCTGTTTTCCATAACCATTAATCGGATCCGGGCAAATAAAACTTTCATGATTCCCAGTCGTCTAAATCTAAAGCGTAAAAACAACAAAAGCAATCAATAATGCTTTTATCGCTTTGTCCGTTTATCACGTAATAATATATTAATATTAATATCTACAAAATAATACGATAAATGTATATTTTTTGTTCAAACTAACTTTGTACTTTCCCTGTTGCCTCCAACTAAATGAATTTTACAGGTAAATAAAAATATGATGTAAAATCTCATTAAGTATGTTTAAATCAATTTTTGTTTGTGTATGGATGTCTCAGTGAATGTCGTATGGATTTATAGATTTCGCTCGATCTCAAGAAAACTATTGGTATCCACTGCATCAGTTATAAGTGTGGGAGAGCCATGCTTCAACACGAACGCGTCGGCTCAACCGGAGTGATACCTCACAAAAATGTTTCGCCGTGTCAGTGAGTTTACCGGACGCCCAATCCTTTCCCTCGCCCAATTCCTGAATCATCAAAACCCTAATCCTCAAAAGGTCGGCAACGACCTCATAACTCTTCCATTGTTGCGGATGTCCATGGGTGGCGCTGATTGCTTCCCATCAGGTAATCCGTATCTCGATTGCCGTCACATAAAAAAAAACAATTTCAGTAGGAAGCAGTACGAATTGAGTAGGTATTGAGATAAAGAATAAAATTTTTTTATAAGCTTTATTTATATTTATTCTGTGATTACGGCACAGTCGTCGTGTGATAAATGATAAATGATGAAATCCATGTAACCAGTGACTCGAGTGAAAACTGAAGGTTTCCCGCCTTCACAACCGCTAGTCTTACTTCTGAAGGAGGAAATACCAATCTGAAACATTGATTTAATAAATGATTACTGTTTGTATTTCAATTTTCAAATATTGGAAAAAATCTATGTTATCACAGTCACTCAATTCTGCCCTAAATGATTTTCAAACCTGACTTATGTCCCCAAATCCTCGGACAAACATTATGGCAAACAACATTTTGAATTGAAACCTTTATATCTGTATCCAAATTATTAATACTATAAATACGAAAGTAACCCTGTCTGTCTACCTCAAAGAGCCAATAGATCACCACAGACGGGGCCCTATAGGGCTCATGTTCAGCCGGGGTAGCGGGGTAAGCGCAATGAGGCACTGCGACCTCGGCCCAGAGCAGGAGAAGGAACAGGGGGTTTTAGTCTTGTCTCGTCAGTCTTAGTATAGGATAGTTTTTAACCAAAAATCTGGAGGAAGTCACTATTACACGTGGGCAAAAGCTAGTATTCTATATGATAATTCTAAATAATTCCTATTATACAGTTAAAACATCAACATTCATCATCATCATCAATATTAAAACAATCATTATAAACTAGCTTCCGCCCGCTGCTACACCCACGTGGTATGTTGATATAAAGCTGCGTTAGCATCACTCCAGCTATTTTTGCGTGTAAGAATAACATACATACATCCATACATTCTCACATCACATTTATATTGTTTGTTTTAAATAACGTTGCCCCACAGTAGGATTTTCTCTTGTGTCGTGGGTGCAGTTTCATACAATTTCACATGCACATGACACCCAGACCCGGAACAACAATTTGTGGATCACACAAAGAGTTGCTCCGTACGGGAATCGAACCCGCGACACGTTGCACGGCAGCCAGTTGCCCAGCCAACGCACCAACCGTGCAGTCAAAGCAATATTACCTAGTAGGATTTTACACGCAATCACTAACCAAGAATGGAGTTCCATTAATGTCGGTAGCGATGAGAGGGCCACCGGAGTCTCCACTACAGATACCGACACGTCCAGCTCCGCTTGTGCAAATATTGCCAGACGTCACAAGACCTGCTTCGTAAATGTATGCGCATTCAGCGTTTTCCATTACCTGCAGCTTGACGTGACTTAACACATCCGAAGCATCTTTTTCTGAAAAGAAACTGAAATTAGGTTTTGTTTTTTATTACGTTTATTATTTTACGTCATCGCTTTATGGTGGATATTACACCTACACGTAAGAAATGTTTCGCCTCAAGTTTTATAATTCGAACCAAATGGGAAATGGAATTCTTTGCCGAAGTCTGTGTTCCATGAAGGGTTAACCTGGGTGCCTTAAAAGCCCGCACCGTAGGTCACATTATCGCTTACTAAAATAAATAAAATAAAATACTGTCCATAACAGGTTGCATAAGTAGCCCATCTAGCTTTATTTATAGAAAATAAAAAATATAAAATTGTTACTATGCTATCTTCTGTTAATGTTTATAAACATTAAATAACTACACAATATTTATATTGAAAGGTAGAAAATGTGACAGCTTACGTGCGTCGCTGGTGCTTCCAAAGCCAACAGCTGTTGCCCAATATCCAACAAATAGGTTCCGTAAATCTGCCGTGTCTGGTAACTTGATTGGATGTATAACATCTGCGAAAATCAACAATAATACTTATAGGAAATGTCTACATAGGTATTGTTTTTAGATCTACAAGATTTTTATCATGAGAAGAAGTATAGAGCACCCTTTTTGGCTCATTTAATTTACTTACTTGTACTCTTAACGTTCCAGGGCAAGTATAAAATCGCGATATCATTTCTTGAGTACTTAGGAATATAGTAAGGATGCATAAAGACTTTTCTAGTGGCAATTCGTTCACCGCCAATGTACAGGTAGTTAGAGCCCAAAACTACAGTAAACTCGCTCGCCAGTTGGACACCATCAAAATTGCAGTGAGCAGCAGTCACCACTCGATTCGGAGACAATAATGAAAAGCTGCATACTGACACCGTAGTTGTACCAACTAAACTAATCAGTAAGCCAGCCTGTAGGGTAGGGAGAAAATTTTAAATAATAATTTCAAATTTCTTAAAAAAAAAAATAAAAAAACGAATGCGCCGTCGAGTCGGTTATCGAGTGTCGTCAACAATCTCCGGCCACCGTGACTCCTAAATCAAGGGTCTATATGGACTGCAAGGAAACGGTATGTCAGTTCTACATATCGAAGTCAATATAAAATAACAATACTTTAAAACAGTGTTGATCAGCAAATACCCTGTACAAATACGGTCAATATTTAAAATAATAGAAGGTTAGTAGGTAGGTAGGTCTAATGAAACAGTAGATACGTACGAAAAAAGGGTACGCGTTCAAGGGTACTAACTCCCCACCGATGATTCTGTCCTCGATAGTTATATTTCTATTAGCTTGAATTGCTTCTTCGAGAGCCTTTATCCGCTCTGCAGTAGGAATACCGATGGCATCATGGTAATTTGTCTGCACTTCCGAGACAGCAAACACGTCAGTAAGTAAACAGCCAACCAATAATATAACAGCCCTCATTATATTCTAATTAGTTTTAATCGACGGCTAGACGGGCAATATTTATATAGATTATAATAAAACATAAAGGCGTCAGCAAACGTACGACTTTTATTTAAATTTTGTTTGTCGCTACAATAATATCATCTCTTCTGACTTGTCAAGACTTACGCTTCCGAAACGTAGACACGTGTAAAGCTTGGAGTAGATATCTCTGAAGCCTTTAGATCAGTTATCTGGAAGGAAGGAGGAGGACCAAAGTTGTCCTGGCAGGGGGAAAATGTCTGCCTAATAATGGACATTCAACATAAGGACTAGTATGATGCGGTTCAGCTGTTGTCTAGTGGAGCGATGCAATAATCAATAGGAATTATGTCACTTTGTTTTTGGTAATTAGCGTTATTACTTCAATTTTATAATACTTAAGCCTTTGACTGCCAACCAAGAACTATTGAACGCAAATCCTCCGCTACCGCACGTCATCGGTGACCTACACGGCGGTTAACGTGTCGTGTATCCCCAATTAAAATGAGCAGATATCTTTGCTTAGAAGAAGTGGGCTATTTCTGATAATGATAGTTCTGATTATTAGACTGGCCTTACAAGATTTTGTGACCTTGGCCGTCGTAGCTAGTGTTTAGTTCCTATTGCTTGGCAATACTTACACTTTTTCTATGCCGTAAAATTTTAGATTAATGGAGTAATTTGCAATTTAGTAATTATACCTAATGAGATAAGATTAGGTAGGTACATAGCAGTAAATTTAATGGTTGTTAAGCATTTTAGTTAAATGTTAGTTACCTAAATATGATGAGACACGGTCAGGTCGATGACCAGCTGGGGTTGCAGGTCCAAGCGCTAAAGAAACGAGGTGCTTTTTAGTCAGTACGAGTCAGACACTCCCTCTAGATCTAGGGCCTGGTCGTTAGTTGATTTTTTCTTCCTCAACAAACAATTTATGTAAGTTCGTATCCTCTGAATTTAACCCCCGTTAATTTGCCTTTGCCATTTAGCGTAATGAAAATTTAATAAGTATCGTGGTCGGCTGAAAGTAAAGCGCCCACTTTTCATGTACTAATCAAATCAAACCTAAAGGTATTAATGCGTCTATGCCTACACAAAGCCTAATGGATTAAACAGATAACTATAAACAAATAAATGTAATCAATTTATTTATATACCTATTATAACATTATTATATAAATAAATTGACAGAGTAACAAAGTACAAGGTAGTGCAGTTGTAAGTTGTATTTAACTTATGACTAAGATTCTTCATTAATCTCCTTCGACACTGGGTCTAAACTATCCAGCTTTTTTATAATAACTATCGTGAGTCATACTAAATTAACTAAAAATCGCGGGTTACTCACGTTTGTTTTTGAGAAAAGCTCTACTAGTTTCGAACCACAGAGGGGTTTTTCCTCATGAGCAGCGTGCACCGACGCGGCGACGCAGCCTAGTTAGCAGTTTCTCAAAAACAAACGTGAGTAACCCGCGATTTTTAGTTAATATCCAGCTTTTGTTTTTCAAATCGAAGGTAGGTGAGAATAAGATTCAAATACAGAACCTGACTCATGGGTTTAAACCTAGACTAAAGATAAACATTGTTCTATTTATTTATATTTATTTATTTATTATTGCTTAGAAGGTACATTTTACATTATAAAAAGTATAAAATGTCCAACAAAACTGTATACACAGTTTGTCTGTTGGATTAGATTTCTAAACTATTGACTTACTATTGTAATAAGATGGCTTAGGTTTTAGATACTTTCCTTTAAATCAAACCTTTCTTGGTTAACGAATGACCTACAACATAGGTACTCTTCTTGCTCTCAAGACGAGCAAGAAGGACGGTTTGGATATAGGATAGCAGAAACCTTCGCATGCCCATTTGTATAATCTAAAATAAACTTTCCTTTTAATTTCGTGAATAATGTAAATGTTCAAGAATAGCTTAGATAGAAGTGGTCTTATCTTAGTCTGCTAACAGAGACCCGGATGCAGAAAATAATCCCCTTATATAACACTTGACACTCCCCGTAAAGATGTAGGTATATATATAAGCCAGCTAATCCATATGTAAGGGGCGACACCTATTTCAAAATAAGAAATAATAGCAGGAATGCCTAACTTATGAAATATGCTAGCAAAATAGGTAGGTTCTGTCCTAAAAAATATCCATCAAAAGAGAAATATAATAAAAATGAAACGATTATTATGTAAAACGTTCAATATAATTCAAATGTTCAATGGTGTAATTAAAAGTCAAATATATAATAGTAGTAGCCTATAAGTCAAAGTCAATAAAGAATTTGAATTCCAGTCAGTTGGCTGATCCAGTCGAGGTATCGCTGTACCCTTGTGAACACAGAGGGTTGGTCGTCATTGCAGCCGCTGGCGCTGATAAATGAAGTCACCCCAATCTGTCAGAAAAGTCATGATATTTATATAAAATGTTTTTAATCACACACACTAAAATAGTAGGTATTAAGCAAAGTCGCTTTTTTTGTCCCTATATTACTGTGTACGCTTAAATCTTAAAAACTACACAACGGTCTTTGATGTGGTTTTTTTAATTAGTCGAGTGATAGAAAAGGATGCTTTATATGTATTATAATATCAGCTAACCCGGGGCGGGTCGCTAGTACCTAATAAATGGGGTTGCGGGGAAAGTGCAACGAGGCACCGCGGTCTCGGCCTAGAGCAGGAGAAGGAACTGTTTTCTAGTCAGTATCTAAGAGTCTGACACTTCCTCCCGCCTCTCCCTGGGCGGGAGAAGACATTTGATGATTTCCCCCTGACAAAAAAAAATGATACCTTATAAATGTCTTTTAAGTAAACAGGGATGATGCCCATTTTTTAAAGTTTGTAGCGAAATTCGCGTCTCATAATTTTGTAAAGTAAGTTCACCGACTGGTTATATATTTTTTAATTTTCATCTACTAGACAATATTTATAATTTTATGTTAAAATTCTTGTAAAATTACATTATTGCTTAAGGTAAATAAATCAATATAATGAGAGGTCTCATTTCTGTCTCTGTCAGGTAAAAGAAATAGGTCGCAAGAAAAACAGATACCGGCCATACCAACACCAAAAACAAAACACAAAGGAAGCAGTAAATGCTCTATTAAAAATCAGGTATTAAAGACGGTAGATTTTAATTCATAATTAGAAACCTATTAATTACGTGGGTACGCACTTCTATCAAAGAAGATAAAGGAACGGAAACAATATGGTTTAGATAAAAATTGGCACACGAATAATTGCTATATCTTAACTAATCTTAATTAGGTACGTTAGATAGGAACACAAAATAGCACCAAACCAGAATACCTACTTTTTAACATCATGTTTATTTAAAAAGTCGTAGACTATTTTCCCGACAATTCGCTTTATTATTTGGTAAATCCATAGATTTTCCAAATTAATTTTGGTGCGTCATAATATAATTAAATAATTAAAGTAATCTGGGTGAAAATTGGAGTTCCCATTTTCCTTGAAATTATCCGTTGGATTTTCTATTGTTTTGGTTTAATAAACTACAAGTAGGGGTCTTCTGACAAACTCAGATGGGACAGTCTAGTTAGCAGACGTCTACTCTGTACGTCTTTATGTTGAGGATATGAGTTACCTCAGATATAAATATGGTGACCACAAAGGCCCCGGTAGTTTTAGTAAGGTAAAAATAATTAGCTAACCTAATCTGGGATCCTTGAGCAACTTTCTCCCAAAAGCTAGACGCCATCATAAAAACCAGGCCTACGAAAGTATATATACACTAGCCACTCTTGCGCGGTTTTATCCGCTGCTCGGTTCCCCTTGATTGTAGCGTGTAGCGTAAAACATGTTTTATAGCATATTGCACTCAGAAACATACAAGACTATCAGTAAAAGAATTTTCGAAATACGACCAGGCAGCGGACGTAAAAACTGACAAGTTACCTCTTTATAATATATTTTTTTTTCTTTATAATAATAATACTATAGATTATTTGGAAGAAGTAGCTTCGCAACCAATGGACGGGCTCGACAACAGTATAGGTACATATTTTAAATTGTTACACTTGCACTAAGTATTTCTACTTAAAGTGCCATGCACCATTAGGTTTAGGTACACCGTTACAAAAACATGAACACACACATTAGTTTGTCTCTTTCAGTATGATATCAGGATAAGATAGAAGAAAGCATTAAGGCAGATAAATAATGATAACAATGTAATTACCAAAATATCCTCTTCGGTTGCATTGTAGAATATCGTCAGTGGTCCGCCGTTATCACCCTGTAATATGAGAATTTACTCAACAATTAAACTTTCAAATTTCTGACTAAGAGAGCCATGTTTCGGCACGAAGGGGTCGGCTCGCCCAGAGTAGCCCCAGAAAACTACCCTGAAACCATGTTCACGTTGTATTTCGCTTTGTGAGTGCGGGTATCGGAAGACCAATCTCTTAATCGCCAAATCCCAAATCCCCGAGAGACTGGAAATGCTCTTTCAACTCCTCTTGTATTACGGGAGTCCATGGGCGTTTCTGATTGTTTACTATTAGTAATTTATATGCTTATCGATATATAAATCTAAGTATAGGTTTACTATAGGTACAAGATGAATACCATTACGCTGAATATATCCAACTGCACTATCTCACCCACTTTTAAGTTGGTATAAGTAGGTACTCATTGTCTCCAGCCTAATGAGATTTTCAATAAATTCCGATTTTCAATACGGTCTGGCAAAAAAATTATGATAAATTTATATTTTTAGACCATACTTTATTGTTTTACGGGATTTAAGGCACACGTACCTACCTTTTATTCGTTTTTTTTGACGTTTCGGTAGTGTTGCACCTGCCGTTGTCACAAGTATAATATTTTTAGACCATGTTATGAAATACCCACGTAAAAAAGAAAAAAAGCGTCTATCTAGATATAAAACGATCTGTAGTTCAAAATGAACACATACGTAAGGGGTAATTTGATATCTAGACGAAAAATCGGCGCCCAAATTAAACCTTCTAATTTCTCCACCCTAAATTATGGACCATAATTGTATATGTGTATTATTATGATAAAAAACACATGTAGATTTTTATCTACATTTAAATTAATTAAATACTTACACGATATTAAAAATAATGATAATAATATAAATTAATCTGAAACTCTCAAAATTATTTTGTAAATAGGAAAACCCCAAAATTAAGTACCTACTCAAATCTCGAGATTGGCTAAGTAATTATGATATCGATTAGTTATTTATTTGAAAATTTTGTCTCTGTCAACGTCATGGCATTTGTAGTAAAGTAATATTAATAAATACTATTTCCAGGAATTTTGAAAATTCGAATTTGGTACATGAAATTTTGTTCTGTCCGAATTTCTAATTCGGGACGTGAACCGAGTGCAGCTCGTTTTGTTCAAAGTATTTCTTGAATGCGGTATAATAAGTCAAAAATGATATAAGTAATTTTGATAAAAAAAATGCTTAGCCGCCATTTTTCCGAGGACGGCGCGTGGAGCGCTTACAACATGGCAAAATAGGAGTTCAGAAAGAGCACCACAATTTATAAGATTGACAATTTTTAGAACTCCCGAAAACTTTTCACGTAATAGGTACCAAATGACTGTCCTAATAATTAGATATAGGAACTTTACTCTTTTACCCTGAGACACAGCTCATTTCATGAACTCACAGACAAATGATTATTTTAGTCGAGTCCTACTTTTAAAACAAATATTTATGATCTCACCTTACAAGTGCCGGCAGTGCCATAGTAGGTGCATATAGTACTACCAGGCAACTGGTTGTAGTACGTGGTGTTGCAAAAAGTGTCCGTTAACACCGTCATCCGCTTCTCACGAAGAGTCGGTGATATGAAGGTCACTCCTGTGAAATATATATACAAATACCTTGGCTTACAGAAAGCCGGCGTGAAACAGCACACAGCGTTGTATTTCGCCGTGTGATTGAGGTTACCGGAGGCCTAATCCTACCCATGCCTCTTCAACCCCGAAACCACAATTCTCAAAAGTCCGGCAACGCACTCGTAACTCCTCTGGTGTTGCGGGTGTCCATGAGCGGCGTTGAGAGCGTACCATCAGGTAATCTAGTCGACGTTTGCCGACCTATCACATAAAAAACATATCCTTTCAAGCATAAAAAGAATTTGCAAACCCGTACATAAACAACGGAGTTCTGAGGTAACAAACATAAAAAAAAGAAAATAAAAGAAAAACATACAATCGAACTGAGAACCTCCTCCTTTTTTTGAAGTCGGTTAAAAAGGTCTTGTCTCTTGTCCTTGCACATTTAGTGTATCTTGGTTATAGGACTCCGCAACTCTTGTTTCATTTGGTGAGATCAAATTACGTGACATAAACTATCTACCTACATAGCATTATCTAACACGACCATACTACACTTTCGTTTACGTTTTAACTTTTAATGCTTCCAACAAGTATGCTTAATTACTTGAAGTCAAATTTTTTTCATCAAGTACGCTTGGTAGCTGTAATACAAACCTTCGGCGGCTATGCCCCACCCGGACACGGTAGCCCCGGCGCCCGCGAAGTTGAAGGTCGATATGTTGCGATAGGGTAGCTGGATCGTAGATATCATATCTAGAGAAACAACAAAACTAAATTATAGCCACAAACATTACAAGCAGGTATGTAATTATTTTACTTTTCTTCTACATAAGTTTTGTAAGTTTTCTAGAATTCACAAGCGAAGGAGCCTTTTAGGTACCTACTCTCATAGTGAAGACGTAGGAATAAAAGCTTTAATATAGAACATTTCATTATTTTTAGAGATAGAAATTGCTTAACCGTTCAATCGTGGTAATTAGAAATACGACAGAATAGGTGCGCGAACTCGCTTGGAGTTTGATGAATTAGAGTTTTTCCCTTCATTCCTAAGTTTTAAGTTCCTGTGTATACCTAACTTAATAAACAAGCCAGTCAATTCAAACTTACCCGAGAGCTGGATAGTGTTGGCTAGTCTGAGAAGTGCAATGTCGTTGGCGAAGGTGGCAGGATCGTACTCCGGGTGAATTACCAGCTCGGCAACGTTCACCACACGCCGTCCGTGCTCGTAGCGATCATACAAAGAATGGGCGCCGAGAATAGCCTGGGGAAATGTATACGATTTTGTCACAACTTACTGGATACTTACCTACAAACTTACATATGTATCTTTATTTTCTTTGATCATTAACTTTTCTAATCTATTAAATTAAATAAAAAAAAAATCATAATGGAAGAAACAACAGTCGTGGCGACCCGAAGGTTACGACGGGTTCGACGGGTTGACTTTTTCCGAGTCGTGTATACTTGTTGTCTGATTGTCTTATTTAATTTAGACATTACAAACCCACTGTGAAGGAAAACATCGTGAGAAAACAGACTTATAATTTCTAATTATAAGTTTGAAGTCGCAAATCCGACTTGAGCAAGCGCGGTGTTTAAAGCTCAATCCTTCTCCGCGTAAGAGGCGTTTGCTTAGCAGTGAAGAGTCCCAGAAGCCCGATATTTCCCTCCACATCCCCTATGAGGTCCCAAGTTCGTTGTCGCGTTATCCAAAAGAAAGCCATAGGTACCTGAACATGATTCACTTCTTCACCATTGTGGAAACAGCAGTGCGCTGCAGTGATCACCCACTCGGGGCTCACGAGAGCTCCCCCACAAAATCCCAGGTCCCCTGTGGTGCCGACCCGCGAGTATAAGGCCACCTGTAAGGGTCAAACTAATGTAGGTATGGTAGGTACTGTCGTACTAATATACAAACAACCAGACCCAAAAAACAATTTATGGTTATAATTAACTTATATGGAATTTTAGCACCGTGCCCCGGGGTAAAGTGTGATAATGTACCTTGGTCCGGCTAAGAGCAGGAGAAGGCACTGAGTGGTTTTTAAGTCAGTAAGCGTCTGACACTCACTCGAGAGAAATAATTTGGTGATTTGCCCCCGCAAAAAAAAGGGTTGGAGCGACCATGGAATAGGACACAAAATAAAACCTCCAACATGAACCTAAGGTTTGAGGATAAGATAGCTTACGACTCGATCAGCCAGATGACGTCATGTGCTAGACAAAGGTCCACCCTTAGTTCTACACGCCGAAGAACAACTTGTCACTCGAATCTAACGGCTCCCCGTGAATAACAATGTCGTTTGACTACCTAGCAGAAGGTCTACCCACGACCACGGGCACGGGCACTATCGTCACCACTCGAGCGCTTTTCTGACCCATCGGCCGTCTGTCGTTTTAGCGATGTGACCTGCCCCTTGTATTCTTAGCTCTCAGATTTTAAGAAGTAATAAGAACAATGTCGGTAACTTTGGTTCTATCGCGAATTTCCAATTTTATATATTATTAACTATAGCTATACTATAATATTCCAATATCCTTGCCAACTTACAAGTCATTCAGGTAGCATTGCTCTTGCTGAAAAGCTGAAGCCTAAATTGTACCTTTACAAAATAGATATCATACAAAAGACCTCGACAGACTTTTTTGTATTCAAAGTAATACCAACTGCGGCCTAAGAAGTATGTTTTACATGTAGGTACCGAAAGAACTTTTGAATGACTAATTTTATTGCTAGAACTATGGAAAATAATGCAGATACTACAAACCTACTCCAATTCACCCCCTAATTACATGGGACCTATAATGAATTTAGGTAACTGATGAAAATTTAAAGTAGTAGCATGTGTCATATCAGACCTTTTTCGCGGATGAAGTCAGTCAAGTCATTTATTTCAAATAGGTACTTTTTTACAAAACCTACAACTTTATAACATAATTATGTAGTTTAGTAGCTACTTAATTACAGTGTAGTTTGTCAGGGATATCTCTAAAGACTTACCATGAAAGGTCGTCCGTTCTGTTCAGATCTGTCTCCGCCTGCAATTCTTGGGGCCACATTTCGCGAACAGAGTTCTCCCTCACACACACTACCACCAACACTCCATACTAGCATAGACCATAGGTACAATACTTGTAACATTATTTGTTTTAATTTATTATTTGTAGTATTTTACAGTAAGACCCAAGTTTTAACGCGAGAAACACTATTTTATCTCAGTTCTGTGACGAATGTTAAGTGTATAAAGAATTTGATATAGAGATATCAATTTTTCGATATTTTATCTTGATAAGGAGATAAATATATGTACTGGGAACGCTGTGACCTAGTCTCACCTCTCTTAACTTCCGTCTTTTACTACGTTATGTATTTAATCAGGCTTTAGCATAACTTTATTATTAATAATAATGCTGAGATTCTATGGTTTCTAAAAGGATTGCAAATGAATAAAACGAAGCAATTATTTGAAAACATCATTTATTTTATATTCTCATCAATAAAGAAGTTCTTTAAAATAAAATAAGTATAAACATAGGTTTACGAAACATGCAGTGATCAGTGTGGCAGTAGAGGGCGACACACGGCATCGCCACCGCCACACTCGCCAAATATACAATAACCATAACACGATTAGAACTAAAAATGTGTGTACGTTATATTATGAAATGTGAAATTTTGTTATATTACTTATAAAAATTAACAATTTGTGAAAATTGGCAGTAAAAATAATTATTACAAAATGAATCTTTAATAGAAATACGTCATTTTATAGAAGCACTTATGAGGCGATCAAGCATACTTACAAGTTGGATACTAAAGGGGCAGAGCGCCGCCGCCCGCCGAGCTACGCAGTACTCTATACTATTCTCTACTCGCCCGCCGCTAGCGACGGGAGACTAACAAGAAATGTGATAATTATTATTAAATGCGGCTTCAGCTGGCGGGCCGCGGCGACCTCGCCCCGGGAGAAGACACTTTATAATCAAATTACATCTAATACAATTTATGTATGTAGCTTACGTTATGTTATCGCGCAATGCTCCGACGAAGCAAAGCTGACGATGTAATTATATAACGTCAATCCACTGGGAAATCGTCATTGAATGTAAATGCGGTTACAATCATCCGTCTTAGCTAAGTTAAACATTATCAAATGCGATAGTCAAATTCCGTCAATTGGTTTTACATTGGTCAATAATAGTTAAAAACTTTTATCATTTTTAATTGAATCTTTAATAAATCGCACGACATACATTTCTAGTTCAACTGAATTTACATTACACTAGCTCCATATTCTTTTAAATATAAATAAGTAAAATATATATATTCTCAATCTGAATTTAAACACTAAAATCTATGTATAAATAGCGACGCATTTAGAATTTTATAATAATAATAATATGTATTTATTTCATTTAATCATAATCGTTTCATCTCATAACAATTACACTTTCGAGGGGTGGGATCGTACATACCTGGATAAAATCTACTATAATATCTTCAATCTTCGATACGAATATCGAACAATAAATACGGTTTACGAGGGCGAACGATCGAACACTCAGATACCGAACAGTCTCAAATAACGTTTCGTACGCAACAAAAAATAATATTAATAATAATAACATTGAACGGTCGACGATGGATAGTGCCGCGAGTCGACACATTTCGTCAGTAGCAAAGCTTACAGCTGCAAGCGTCGTGAGAAATGCGCGGCGCCCTCCCGGCCCTCCGGCCGCGGGGCGCCGCCCAGCTGAGGAAACGCGCCCGCCTCGCCACGCTCCTAACTCTTTAGCTGTAAACACACAACACCGTTACTCACTCATTCCTTGCACTAACCCACTAACACAATAAAGCAGAAAGCGTTAAAGATTAATGCTGTAGCAATACAATAAGAGATTTAAATTAGTTTCAATTACAATGTAAAAGTTAGTACACATATTCATCGTTAGTAGTGGTGCGCCTAATGAATATAGCGGGGTCATTTACTACTACATGTTTCCATATACCGATAAATTAAAGGAAAATTTGTAACGATTATAACTATTTCTTTGCGGTCACGAGTCACAGTCGATCATTATGAAGATTGACTAATTTAATATTAACGTCGAAATCGACGTTGTCAAAGCCCGTTATAGAGAAATGGGTTTGAATGGAACATTATGAAACACAATAATGGGCCCAAACACGACCGTTCCCAAATTACCGAAGTTTGATATACCCACGTGCCGCGTGTATATACGCTAGCAGCTCTATGGGGCATATATGAAGCAGATAGTAGTAATAGCAGCCCCCGCGAGTTTTGTTGAACACAGCCTAATTAAGAAAAATTACTTCTTATAATTTCATTACTTTGAGTCGCTTCAAAAATTACGGCTTCTATTAAACACCGTATAGTAATTTTGTTCTAATAGGTAACTGCACAAAAGCTGTAGAGTATACGTAGCTTTATTGCAGGCCCTGTAACACAATACGGAAGAGGACTGGCATAAGCGGACAGACAGTTCCATACTCCGCAAGCCCAGTGCTGTAGTCGGGCGTGGTACGAACGTGTGATGTTAGGGTGCGTATAGTTGGGAGAGGAGAGTGACTGACTTTTTCTTGAGCGTGAAGAAGGAGCGTCGCTTGGGCTCGGCGTTGTGCGGCGCGGGCAGCGTGTGGGAGCGCGGCGCGGGCGCGGCGGCGCGCAGGCGCAGCCCGTCCAGCCACCACGACATCTCCGCCTCGTCGTGCGCCTGCAGCAGGAACTCCGCGCCGCTACTCAGTCTGCAACACCCCACACATTCTGTTACTCGCGCCAACCTTGACTACGGATTCCTTTATTGAATTCGCCTTGGCCAAATCCCACGACAGAATAATGGCAAAAACATATTATGATATACACAATTTCAGCTAAGTGTTTGCTCTGTTAAAACGTCTGAAATAGAAATTGCACTTTTTGAAACCGACTTATCATACCAAACAGCACTATAAAGTCCTACCTAAGACGGAACACGTGCTTCTTCTTGGTGTAGTTGGCGGCGACCTCGACGACGGCACCATTAAGGTCGAGCGGTGCCTCGCCGCGCCAGTGCGCGTCGGGTGATGCCTTGTACGCCTTCTGGTCTTTGTAGAACGCCATGCGACCGTCCTTCGCCACCACGTACACTTTGTCCCATGATCTGCGAATAAAAAAGCATAATATGATCATCAATCCAATTTTGTCCCTTTCCATCCCTAGCCTCTCCAATATAACACCAATGCATAGAAGATCTAGGTATTACTTAGATGATTGAGTGTACTCGTACACTAAAACCTACCTTATGGTTTTAAAACAGAGTTAAAAACTTATTAGAACTTTAACATTAGGGAAAGATTACTGAGCTGGCTTTAATTGATAATAGATACCAATGATTTCGGTAAGCTTCATGATAGACAATATTTCAAATTTAATTTAATATTATGTAGAAATAGAAGAAACGAAATATCTCACCTGTTGGAAGCTCGTTTGGCTGCGGACTCCCACTCGTGTTTGCGCACCAATGTTCCCTCTACGCCCTCGTCCTCACTCGCGGGACTAGCACCCTCTGTATACAACACACACTTCGTACACACATTCTAACACATCAGATCTGTATAATTCGCAACTTAAAATAATCAGTAGAGTGCATATAAAGCACAAGTAACATTACGTCGACATACATAGACATTACTTAGCCTGTACTTCATCAAGCAATATTCATTCCACAATGAATGTGCCAAGTAACGTATAATTACATCGACGCGTAACCTAATGAAATAATTTATTTATAAAAGCACACTAATTTCTGACGAGCGCTTAACATCTAACATCTAGATCTCGCACCAATTTCATAGTTCTAAAGGGTGATATGGTTTGATACGCAGGCGTCATGTCCGAACCCTAAAAATTTAGAATAAAAGCCACGCATATAAAGTCGCTTTATTGGGCACAAGGGAAACATGCGCGTAACACACACACTGCAGCACAAACAAAGCATCATCGCGTAAACACATCGTGATCATGTTGATAGCGGTCGACGGTTTTGGTTGGACAAATTTATTCATTAACTGCCATGTTAAAATGCAGTGCAATAATAATTGTAATTTGTTTAGGTGTTGTGCTCATGAAAGCAGATTTGCATCCATTAATTCCAAAAATAAAATGAAAGTATTGGTTTTTCCATATCGTTTCATCTCACAAATTTACATTAAACATATTTGTTATATGTTTCTTTGTATCATAAAAGTTGTCCATCCATCACCGTCCCCTACCAAGGATACCTTCATCGTCGCTATGATGAGATCCGGCGAGCAGTTTCTTCGCCGTACGCCATCGGAAACTCCTGAACGGCGACTTGCTTCGTGACCGCGACTTCACCTTACCGGAACTAGACGGCGTGGCTGGCGTCGAACTCGTCCCGGGAGCTGTCCGCGGCAGAAGGGGAATGGGCAGGGTATCGGGGGAAAGTGCAGCGTTACAATGCAAGGGCGTGTCGGGATACAGGGGAGGCGACGATATTGGACAGCCGGCAAATGTTGGTGATGGGATGAGATAGGGGAGAACAAAAAACAAAAATAATTCAAAGCAACATAAAAACAAAACTGCGTCGCAGCAAAAACAAAAGCCTTTTCATGCGAACATTTTCTTTTTTAAACTGACACTTAGAGGTAATTAACGAAAACATGGATGATAACATGCAATTAAGATACACATTTGACATACATACACTGTACATGTTAGGGTACCGGCACGCCGTTACTCGACATCGGGTTAACAGATCCATTAACATTCCATCCACAGTTATGGCTCAAATATGATACGCATTAAGGATTACCATTGTAACTCGATATATATATATACTTTACCTTGTCCATTTAACTTGGACTTAGTGACACAATCAATTTTGAGCCATAATCCAACAACTATAGAATCTACTTGGTAATCTACGATACTCACTGGAGAGGCGAGCAGGTTTGGCGGGCGTCTGTTTTGAGGTCGAGGGTCGGGGCGGGGAGTCGGTCTCGGTGACTGCGACCGCGGAAGCCGCGGGGGTCGCGGGGGTGGCGGGGGGTGTAGCGGGGGACGGCTCGCCCAACTCTGCATGCGTACATTACATCTACGTGCTAGTTACGTCTACACACTACGTGCTTACATGCTTACATTACGTATTACTACATGCTACTAACTGTACACACGTATCCTTCGTTGCAGCAACTAATGTTGGCAATAAAAAACTTTAAACTATAAAATCAATTGAATACGTGTCCGCAGTTAAATATCAAAACATACATGCTACACAATAAGTTCTACTTCGCTATAATATATTAATATTTTAATAATTATCTACTTAAAGATTCGACATTCCAGTTAAAGAACCCTACCTATAGATTTCCCTGCTATTTCAATTTATTTTGTTTTATGATGACCAAGCATGTTAGGACCCATTTTATATAGCAATCTATGGTAACCCTTTACCCGTGTCAGGTGCACAAGTGATGATAGTAAAGTGCTTATTATTGTAAAATATTTGAATATACTTACACGATACAATATAAATATAAGCTATAGACAAAGCTGATGCATATTAGAAAGCAAAAGACAGTGAAGCTGGTATAGTTTAGGTGTAATACCTACCTTGGAGGAGACAGCTCCATTGGTACAAGAATACAGAAAGTATCGGACACGACTTAGAGATAATAATAATAATAAAATTGATTGCAAAGTTCACAAGATAGCTTCCCCACCAGCTGGTGTATATTGCGACGTATAAACTTTTACATTTACTTTTATGTTTTCTTGTAAATTTAGATAGCACAACCACCTTACTAGCAGGGATTCTAGTATGAAATGACTAATCATTAAAATGATAGACAGACAGAATATGCAGACATGAGAGACAGAGTATCAAACCATCACCGTGATTAGCAGTATGACGTCACATAGTGTATGATAAAATATAAATACGGTTATAATTTAAAAATATTCAATATAAATCTAAAAAATATAATGAAAATAAGACGGAAATTATCGGGGTTTAAAACAATTAGTTAGGTAAGTACGTGATAAAATTAATCGAGTTTTAAACCCCGAGCGATGATTGTAATGAATGATTTCGTTGTATTTGTGATGATGAGTTGACAGAAAGAAAACCATCACCTTAAGAGAACGAGTCGGTGTAGTGTGAAGAATAAATTGAAATCGTGCAATAAAATAAAACTGTGCTAGAACCCCAACTACGAATTACGTAAAACATTACCTACGAAAATAAACCTACACGAAAGAAAATTCCTTTATACGTACAATAAAAGCTTTCAAGCTAATAAAAATTAATCACAGTTATAAACTAACTCCCCAAGTGTGTCTAACTATTTCGAGCGCAGTGTAACCCGACAGAAATACAGAGTATACCCATTTTAAACTATCGTAGAAGCTCATGCCAACAGCCGGGTATATTTTTACAACGGTAGGTTTATAATAAGCGCTCTTATTACCTGGCTGGGAATGCGGTCGCTCTTGGGCCTTCTCAGCCGCTTTAGTGGATGTTCTCCTTACGACTACGCGTGTGCATGTGTGGACAACACATCGGTAAGTAACGGGCTCTTGTCGCACGCGATATTCCATCGACTAACGGGACCATGATTCGTTTGTCGTACGACAATCGAACCAGTGGCTATCATTTAATTAATTTTGTTAGTCGACTGAATAAGCGTTTGAAAAGGGCATAAAGAAATTTACACGTAAAGCGGCAAGCTTGCCGTAAGCCTTCATGGCTGTAGTGCGAAATGTGCTTTATTTCTTTTTAACTTAAAATTCAAAATTATCCTACGAATTTTCTTATATATAAAAGTATAACTTCAAATTACTAATTGTGTTATTGCAATATGCAAGCAGCATTCACCGTTATGGTGAAAGTTAGTGGAAGTTTTTCAAATAATCATTTTATACTGGACAGTAGATATTCTGATTCGATAGTGCTAGAAGAAGACGTTACACATGCGTGCTTACATTGCAATCCGTGAGACGAAGTGATGTTAATATTTTAGAAATGAATATTCTTTCCATTCACGATTTTCTTGTTAATATTTTGTAATAATAGCCTATTTAGTCTGGCTTCATATTTGAAGCTCAGATACCTTATTGTAAAAAAAATCATCTTATTCCATTCAATACTATATAACTATAAAAGTACGACCAACGATCATCCTCTTATACTTCAACAGTTGGTTACTCTAATAGCATTCTCAATTCAGAGATTTTTCTCATCGACATATAATAGAACGATTGATCGAACTTTTAAAGTATAAAGTAGACCAGGAAGTCATAGACTTGGAATTTCTTGATTTCCCGAAATTATATGAGTATTATGTAGGAAGTAGTATATGTTCGGGCAGGGAAGACTGACCTTGCGCGGGTTGTTCCTGCGGCGTGTCGGCGCGGTCGACGGCGTCCTGCGCGGCGGCGGCGGCGGCGGCAGCCTCGGCGGCCTCGCGCTCTCTCTGCTCGCGCTCCGCCGCCTCCGCCGCCTCCTGCCGCCGCTTCCTCTCCTTCACCTCGAACTGTCATTCATAACAGCCGTTAGCATACCGCGCAATACATGTCGACGTCAGGCGGTTATAAAGTTCGTGCTTAGCATTAGTATTTAGCAAAGGTTATACAATATACCGACAATCTTTTATGTAATTTATAAAACTTGAACCTGTAAAAGTTTCCAATAATGATTCAATATCATTATTGGAAACTTGCATCTTATCTTATATAACACTTTTTTTTTAAATGAAAAATGACATGAATATGTAATAATAGTAATCGAGTTAACCCGCATTCACATGCATCTAAAAATCGAAATACTTGAAAAGCAAATTATTTTTTTTTTGTGTTGTCAGCGCCCAAGCTGTACATGCAATACACCAAACACTACACTTACACTATCCAAGTAGTTATAGTACCATGCACCATCGGGACATAAGAGGTTACGGGTTTGGGCCAGTAGGAGGAGAGAGGAACTTAAAGGTATGCTTTTAACTTCTTTCCCTAAGTCATTAATAGCTTTCGAACTACTCGTCAGACCAGGAAGTGAAAGTACTGCGACCTCACCCTTAATTTCATTCTCCGGCTTGACTTTCTTAGACCATTTCCTAATAAACCGTTTCAAACTAGATTTTGACGAACTATTGCTTTTGTGCCTTAGTAACGATACGTTTGGGTACACGTTTAAATACGACAACCGCTCCCATAAAATTAAGTCTATGCAGGCTAGATACTCATTCGCTTTCTCAGCCTGATCAGGGAATTCAAAGAAAACTGAACTGTATATCTCTGGTGACATCGGCGACATTAAGGGCGAGTTTGGTGCGGAACTGGTCTCCGATATTGTTGATAAACTATTGTTTTTATTATTCGGGGACCATAGATACGAATCGTTCTTCTTTTGGTTGTCCGCGTAGTTAATACTTAGTGTTCTAGCTTTAATTTTCTCTGGTATGTTAAATTTGTTGCTATCTGTTATAATTTCTTCGACTACCTGACTGACTGGTCTTTCGTTTTTGTCGATGATTACAGTGAGAGGTTGGTGTGATCGGGTGTTAGGTGGGGGTTGGTAGGTAAAGTCGGATTCGTCACATTTATCCCAAGGTTGTGCACTAGGCCACATTGATGACGCACGCTGTTCAAGCTAGTTGAAGATGAAATGAGAAAAAATAAATTAGAAGAGGAAAGTCAAACCAAACATTAGAATTTAATGCGAGCGTGTCATGAGAAGTGAATTGATTAATATTTCGTGCAAATGAGTGTCATTGAATCCGATTCTGTATTTATTTATAAACCGATGTATGGAATACAAGATGCGGATTTTTCCTTTATTATTTTTTTTATCTGTGTCATTCACATGCATATAGTAAGTCATACACTTCACAGGACACTATTATTTCCCATTAAAAAAGCAAAAGAAGAGATAAAATAAACAGAAAAATGTGCAATATACACAACGCGTGACTAAAATACCACAATACCACCAAAACCATTATTTGCTGATTTCTAATAAAGTACGTACGGTTGTGAGCCTCTGTAGGGCTGAGAAGCGGTCCTCTTGTGCTGCGGCAGACTTCTCGAAGGCCTCGTGTTTCTTAATGAGAGACTCTACTTCGTCGATAGTGTGACCTAACTCTTGAGACATTAGGTAGGGCTCCTGTGCTATGAGCCAGGCCTCCGCCACTGCAGCATCGCGGGCAAACTGGTACACCTCCAGGACTGAAGAGATAACACGTAAGTATTATAGATCTTAATTTATAAGAAAGAGCTCCTACATATTCTTTATCTTAAAGACAAGGAAAGAGTGACCAAAATGGTTTTTAATTTGACTCAGGAAGAAACTAAGCAAAAATCACTTACTAAGTTGAAGGTTCTCCCAGCGTTCTTCCCAGCGGCGTAACAATGCGTTGCGTTGGTTGGTCAGTTGTAGTAACTTCTCCTTAATGTCGGCGGACGCGTAATGTTGTCGGGCTAACAGTTCGCGACCAAGGGAGATGCAAGCTGAGAAATTGTCCTCGCGGGTGTCAATCTCAGCCTTCAGAGATTGGTGGTTGTTCATTAGGAGTTCTACGCCGCTGACGTCACTGGAAATAGGTAAATAGAAGGGTTTCATAAATATATATAAAGATTATGCATTGCATAATTGTGTTTGGCTGAATCACGAATTACTATTCCGTTAATGTCCGACTAGTTATGAACGATACTGAAACCCGTAAACAATGATATGTTCGATAAGATGTCTTACCACCAATTTGCCGAGCATCTACGATTTATTTATCATGTGCAGATTTTGCAGTAAGAACTTGTTTTACGTAGTTTACAATTTCTTATTTTAACAAGCAATGTTTAGTGAGTATTGACGTGAGTGGTTACCGCGGCTTCTCCCCGGTGTTCATCTGTCGCACGACGTCGTCCATCCAGAGCGTGAGCGTGCGCACTTGGTTGAGGAACCGGTACAGGTGGTCCGCGTCCTCCAGCTTGGCGGTCCGCGCCGCGCACGCGGCCGACAGCGCGGCCCACGCCTCGCGGACCTCCGCCTCGCGCCGCGTGATCTCCGCCGCCTTCTCGCCCGCGTACATCGCGCCCAGCCGACCACACTCCGTGCGGATTGCTTCAACCTGATACATACCACCATATTCACATCTTATATACGTACTAACGCATTAGTATACTGCAGCAGTGCTAATGATATACAACTATATTTTAAAATAATAGTATTGACATGTGTACTACATTTTTACACTGAATATTTTTTAGTGATTTACATCTGTCTTTGCTCTATACTTATCTCTTTAAAGAAGTACTGTAGGATTTGCCAAAACACCTTTATAGTCCAAGATGTGTAATGGACCTAATAATCCAACTCGTCACTTTTCTAGCCAGAAATAGGCGTAAAAAAGGCGTACCTGTTGGTGCAGAGTGCTGAGGTCCTGCATGAAGTTATGATGTTTCCGCTGCAGTGCCCCGACGCTGATAGCGTCCCTGCCAAGTTCATCGCTGACGCCGCGCGCCTTCTCGTTGACGCGTTGCAGCGTGTCCTTGCAGTCGTGGAAGTATTTGTGGAGCTCGCGGGAAGCTGCCAACATCTGTATACAAACATTTTATGAGTATACACATGAATATTGTAAAGAAAACACGAGTCTGGTCTGTTAAACTATGTGTTCTCAGTAAAATTCATTTTTAATTTCCAATAAATATACAAAATATCAGTTCACGTAAAACAATTGCAACGTCAATTTCGAAAACAAATAAATAAATAACCAAGTAATTTGAATATTTTAATAAACTTCATGAATTACTATGATAACTTCAAGTGATATTAAAATAAATAACTGAACAGACCTGTGTCCTGGTCTCAATGAGCTCGAGCAGATCTTGCCAGGTCTCCTTGAGTCCCTCCTTCCATTGAGCAATGGTTGCGTTGTCAGAGTGTCCCATTGCGATCATCTGGTCGGCAATACGTTCCGCCGTGGCCACGCGCTCGGAGCCCACCGCTTGAGTCTCGCGGGCGAATTCTTTGAAGCGCTCCCATAATAACTGTAAATGAGATATGTTTGCATTTATAAAATTGTCAACAGTAACATTGCAAAGTACTTCAAATTCAATCTAACCACTCTTATGAACATCAACGATAGCGGCTCTAGCTCACAATTACAACTTATTTTACCCATTTTTAACATCACCATTCTATAACACTCTCTGGCTAGAAAAATGGGCTATTCAGCATAAACAAAAGCTAGAGTTACTTACGGTAACGTGATCGTAGTCCTGTCCAAGTTCCTGTGAACTGGCGACGAGCTCTCTCTCGGTGATCCATTGCTCGAGGTCGTCAACCTCCCTAGACAGCTGGAATAGGCGCAGAGCCTCATCCAACTTGGCGCGTCTCTCGCCAGCCAGGTCCTTTAGACCAGCGTACAGCTTATCCACTTGTGACTGCTTCACTGAGATCTGCTCGCTGTTGTAACGAAATATTGGCTTTTAGTTAATGTACAGGTATTTTAGATTGTAGTCGTGCTCTATTATAAAAAAATTGTTGCCCCGCTCTAGGATTTACTTCTGTGCCGTGACTAAGTTTACAAACATACAATTCCACATACACATCACACCCAGATCGGGAACAACAATTTGTGGATCACACAAAGGGTTGTTTCGGTGTGGGAATCGAAGCCGCGACACGTTGCGCATCAGTCAGTTGCCCATCCACCGCGCCAACCTCCTCTTATATTCTTATTGTAATAATACTAGCCTTATTCCGTGAAAGGGGAAAGTCTAATGTTAGTTCGATGTCCTAACATTCCTTACTGGCAACTGTGTGAACATAATTACTGTCAATGTAATAAATTACCTGAGCGGATGTTCATCTGCAGTGAGGTGTCGTACAGTCTCGCCAAGCTGCCTGATAGTATGCGCGTAGTCATCGACAGCCTGTTCCAAAATCTCATGCTTCTTCATCAAATTCTGCGCTGAGATTTCGTCCTTGCCTCGGTCCTCCACCATCATGTACAGCTCTTGTTCACTCATCCAAGCTTCCGCTTCATTCGCGTCGAATAGATATTGCTGTGCCTTCTCCCATTGGGACAGTTTGTTCTTGCGTTCTTCGATGGCATCTGCGAAAACATTAAACAAATCAATAATGCTCTTTTTTTGTTAATATTTGTTTTTTTATTTTAGTTATGTTTGTGGTGGGACTTACCTTTCAGTTCTCGCCACCTCGCAGTAAGTTCTTCAATAAGCTGCTTGAACTCAGGCGTATCCTCGTGTCCCTCGTCAATCAGCTTCTGTCCATTAGAGATTACAGTGAGAATCCTTGGCTCGTGGTTGTCAGTCTCAGTCTTCAACGACTGGTTCTTCTTCTGCAACATCTGCACGATGAACAGAGAGTTGCCGTAGTCTGTAGTAGTGGCTTGTGGCATCTTTTCGTGCACCCACAGCTTCTCATCCTCGACGTCGCGGCGGAATTGGAAGGCTTCCTTCTTCTTGGCCAGCTGACGCTGACGATCCAACAACGGGGCCTTCAACTGTTCGAAACGCTGTTCCACCGACTTCTTCTTCTCCTTGATTTCGTCCATCTTGTCCGGGACAGTCTTCTGCAAGTATTCAGCCTGAGTCTCCAGTTCGGTGACTTGTTTGGCTTTAACGGCCATCTGTGTCTCGATCATCTGTTGCTTCTGCATGAGAATGTTCACAGATGCCAGATCAGTGCCGGTGTCGGTGTTCTCGATTTGTTTCTCGAGTTCGTTCATCCACGAGTCGATATCGTCGCAAGTCTGGTGCAGCAGAACTTCACGGTTAGCGTCAAATAGGCGTTCTCCCTTCTCCTTAGTTGTAGTCTGCAGGTTCTCAAACTGATCTTGCAGTTCGGACATTTTCGGGGAGATGATTTCGACAAACTCGGGTTTCTGCTTCATGAGTTCTTCAGCAGCATTTTGTACGGCGAACAGGCGTTCCTTATTGGCCGCGATCTCTGCTTCGAAGGCTTGATGGCGGGTCCACTTGGAGTGGATTGTCTTGGCAGAGCGGTAGGTGTCGTCCTGTGCAGTGACGTTCTTCTCCTGCACCCACTCGCCGAGCTCGTCGCAGTCCTGCAGGAACTGGTGCAGCTGTAGTTGGTCTTGGAGTTTCTCCATCTGCTGGAGTGCCTTCTCTCGGTTAGCATTGCGCCTGGCGTCAATGTTCTCAGCCTTGCGCTGGATCTTGTCGGCGTCGAAGTGTCTCTCCTCGACGAGGCGGTTGGCGAACTGCACAACGGAGTTTATCTTGTCGTCGTTGGCCTCCATGGTGGTGAGGAAAGCCTCGTGCTCCTTGATCATGTTCTCGGCCTGCTCCAGGTTGGTCGGTGGCTCGGTCTTGCCTAGCCTGTAGAAGGTGATAGTGGGTAAGTATTACATTTTCATGAGTCGTATTAAGTAGAATGTTGAATCCCCGAGCTGGTGGAGTGGGCCAGTACCTGTGCTCCTGGTGTGCCAACAGGACCTCAGCCTGCCGCGCGTCGCGCTGCAGCAGCTGCAGCTCGAGACTCTGTGCGAGGAGCTGCTGTCGGTTCTCCCACATCTGCTGTAGCTCGGCCCAGCCCTCGCGGAGCGCCTTCAGCCGCTCGCGCAGGAACATGTACTGCGGGTCGTCTTGCGTCGACGGTTCCTGCGGAATACACAAATGTTTCATTTCATTAAATTATACCTCAGTAACCCGTGATAATCCTCTGCTCGATTATGGGTATGGGTACTACAAAATAGCTTGGCAGCTTTGGTTGGAGACCATAGTTAAAAAGTATTCGATTTGCAGAAAATACTAGTGCCGAGTATAAGTCGGTTTTTGTGAAACCCGTGAACAGGAGTAGTATTCTGCCGATACGATATGGCTAAGTGGTAGCTGCATATAAATTAATCAAAGTTTTAGCTATCTTGCAATGTTTATTTTTAGGATCCATGTCACCACAATATCTAGTTGTAAAAAAACATTTTAGTATATAAAAGTACATACGGCAGTGATCTTCTCTCCATACTCCATCATCTTGGCGTACTCGTCCTTGTAATTGTCGATCTCCTCCTTGATGGTCTGGTGCTGAGACAGCAGCTTCTCCGCCTCCGCCAAGTTTGATGGCGTGTCTGTACACACAAAAAGTATTTATTCAGTATAGAAATAGATTTAAGAATTCATTAAAATAAATACAACAATCACACTTTTTTCTAGCCTAAAATCTAGATTCTACAATGAATGAGTGCTAGTTGGTACTCACCCTCGGAAGCGACGTCGGTCTGTGTCTTGGTGAGCCAGGCCTGGAAGTGGTCCACAGAGCGAAGGAAGCGGTGCAAATCGCCAGCCTCCTCCAACTTCGCGTCGCGTTCTTTGAGCTGAGGAAGAATTTTACGTTAATCAAGTACAGATTGATACTTTAAATATGATTCTAATAATGTTGGAAATCATGTATCATTCAATGACAGAATATGACAAACATTTACAGAATAATTTCCATAAAACTGACTTCATCAAATCTGGCAACAAGATTTTATTTACTTTTCAAAAGTGTGTAATTCTTAGTGCACATTTAGTGTGCAGTCAGAATTCTGTACAATAACAGTTGGTAAGACACAGATATTCTAATACTGATAGATTTGGATAAAGAGCCAGTTAAATCAACTTACCATCTGTGTAAGTTGTTCCCAGTTCTCTGTAATCATGGTGACGCGGTCGCGTATGAGCTGGGCCTCCTCGGGATGGTCCCCTTCGATGGCGCTGGCCTCGCTCTCCAGCGAGGAGATGCGCGCCTGAATGGCGGCGAGGTCGCGTTCCATACCGGACAGGCGACGCTGTAGGGTCATTACACCTGCGGGAGAGACAATCGTTTAACTTCATTTGAACAAAAGTGTGATATGCCATAACCTCCGCACTGTTGGAGAACGCAGTCCAAAAGGAAGAGGTTAGGCTTATCAGAGAATGCTAGCCGCAGTAAAAGTGTACATGGTAGTTTAGTCTGTCGTCGCTACACGATGGCAATATCTATTGAATTAGCAAAAGTAATAAAAAAACACTTCTTGTAACAGAACACGATACGTAAACTTACCCCTAACTACGACAAAATATTGCTAAGTTACATAATAATTTTCTATTCTGATATTAAAAATGACTGTTAGTTGTCAGAATCCTCGCAAGAATGACTTTGAAATATTTATTTTTATTGTCTAGATATGTCTATAACCGCATCATCGAGGAAACCAAAGACTCGCAGTCTACTTGCGATCAAATTACATCACAAACGTAACTTTGCAACTACATGTAATATGTATAATATAGAATAGTAGGTATTTAATTTGTAGACTAACTCTGTACTATTGGAAACTGATATTAATTTCAGCTGTATCACATTGCCTCATGTTTTTCTAATTTTATTAAAGTTTTGGTCTCTACTAACGACTTAAGAGGTAGACCAGAACTATACCATTTGCCATTCCACTATAGAGACACCTCAATACAGAGCAGGCATGATATTGTCTGATTTTTATATTTTTTAAGTCTTAAGAAAGACCGGTATGACAATGAACTTGGTATTTGTTATTCTGTTTTAATATAGATTATTTAACATATAATTGGCCAAGCAAAATGGTTCACCTACCGTTGAGATCCATCTCCAAGTTGTCGGTCTGTTGCAAGATCCTCTTCTTGTCTTCGATCCAAGAGACGGTCTCGCGGCATTCGATGTGGAAGGTCTGCACTCCCTGGGCAGATTTCAGCTCGTCCTTCTTTCCTTCCGCCTGTTCGTAAAATGGAGGTTAGTCTCATTTCTAAATTTTAAAATCCACTTATTTTTCGAAATATTGAAAAAATGTTGACGGTCTGAATTTTCACGGTCTTACTACAAAACAAGACTTTTCTTTTGTGTAGGTCTAAACCAATGAGCTAGTTTTTGTATTTCAAACTGAAGACAGGTGAGAATAAGATTAAAATACAAAATCTGATTTAATGGTCAATCTTGTTTTGTAATTAGGGGTCAGAGATTTTCGGTATCTGAAAAATAATTGTAGGAAATTACACTATAATGACGAAAAAAATATAGTGTTACTTTATACGTATCCTTCTAAAGCCACTTCGATTAAAGACTATTACAACGTGATAACTGGCCCAATCCTTCCCCTCCCCCAATCCCTCCTACATCCCTAAATCTCCATATCCCTAATACCTAAAAGGTCGGCAACGCAATCGTAACTCCTCCGTTGCGAGTGTCCATGGGCGGCGCTGATTGCTTACCATCAGGTAATCCGTCTGCTAGTTTGCCGACCTATTAAATAAAAATAAAAAACTGCATACCTTCTCCCTGAGCGCGCTCCATGCGGAGTTGAGCGCGGCCTGCCTCTCCTGTATGCGCGCCGCCTGCGGGTGCTCCACGTGAATGAGCTGTCGCGCCAACTGGTTCACTACGGCCACACGGGACGCGTTCGCGTTCATCTCCTTGTCGAAACCGTCGTATCTGTACCAGATTTTCAAATATACATTTTCTGGGTTTTTATGTATGTATAGCGATGGATATTTAGGAAGTTATTGATCGGTAACATTTGTTCCCTTTTAAGATTTTACTATGTACGGGAATGAAACGTATGAAAGTGGCAGTAGTAATATCTAATTTCAAACATGTTCATTTTACAACATCAGTAGTTGACGAGGCTACAGATTATCCGATCATCCGGATGACAAATATACGAAAGAAATGTATGTACCTGTGTTTCATGATCTCGACGTCGTCGATATCCTTGGGCGGCAGCATGGTATCCAGCATGCGGTCCTTCTCGGCGATCCACTGGTCGGCCGCGTCGGCCTCGGCGAGCAGCTTGAAGAGGCTGAGCGCGTCCAGCAGTCGCTGCTTGCGCAGGCGGGCCAGCTCGGCCAGCTCGCCGTGCCGCGCGTCCACGGCGCCCAGCCGGGACACCACCTCCGCGCTCGTCGCGTCCACCGGGGACAGCGTGCCCGCCTACATTAACAACAATACGTGTTACTATGTGATACACTTGCGCTCTTTTTGCACTTCACTATACTCAAATGACTTACAAAAATATTTTTTACCATACGTCATGTGTCGCCTTGTCTACATCTGACATTTGTAACTCAATTACGCCAAAACGGCTGGACAGATCTGGATAAAATTTGACACAGGCATAGGATACACTCCGGCCAACATAACAGGTGGCCGAAACCGCGCGCGAAAGCTAGTTATTACATATCTATAACATGTTTCTATATCAAACTACTTTTCCTATTATAAAGGTTCAATATTAATATTTACATACCTGTTGTTTAAGTTGCTGGATAACGTTAGCGTAGTTCTTAAGTTCGTCGGTAACATCTTTGTGTTTCTTCAGCAAGCTCTGTACTTGGGCCTCGTCAACACCCGTATCCTCAGATGACACCAATCTATCGAATAAACAATACACATTATTTTCTTAATATTAAATATATTAGAAAAACAAAAAGCGCAAACTTAAAAACAATTTGCGCAATGAATGTATTTGTTATGCGCAATAAGTAGGTGCGACCACCCAAAACTATAAATACCTTCCAATCTGTTAAAGAAATTTACACTTTCAAGTAACTATATTAGTTAGTCAACTGTATTTCAAATATCAGGTAGGTATTTAAAAAAAATAATGAATGAACACATATTTATAAACGGTTTTTTGCATAATTTATCAAAAAAGAATCATGTCCTTACCTGAGTGTATCCAACATCCAATTGTCGATGTCGTCAGCATCAGCGAAGAGTTGATGGTAGCGCACGGCTGCGTCCAGGCGGTTCTTACGCAGAGAGACCAGGTCCAACAGGTGATTCCATTGGGACAAGATGTCACGAAGACGGTCCTATACATAAATGTTACTTTGTTATTGTATAGGTACTCAAGTTACGTTAGTTAGTTATTTATTATAACCTAATTTAAAAAAGATAAAATTTAACGCGGAAGATCATTGGAAAGCAAAATCGAGACACTAACAGAGTATTTACCAAAAACACAATAAAAGCTAAGAGAAAACTTCAATTAATGAATACCAAAACAATCTGGATTTAGTGAACTGGTTTGTATTACGAACATGGTACTTATCTCTATTTTTGCAAAGGTTTTGTACATAAATACGATTATTAAGCAAGTTACCTGTATTCTATCAGCTCCGAAGTGTCCTTGCGAGATGAGCTCGTCTCCGACTGCGGCGACACTCATTAGCTGTGGCTCGTGAGCTTGCACGTCCGCCTCCAACGCCTTGTGTTTGGAGATCAGGAGGTACACTGCGCAAACATAAATAAGGTTAACAAATGTTGCGTCAAAGTAAATGAAGAACTTATGACTAATAGTTGTGTGTTAATGACATTTTTGCGCTTCTAGGGACGAGACAAATATCACAATAATAACCAAATAATCTGAATTTCAAAATTGTACATATAAATATAACACAAAAATAATTATATAAATAGAGTTAGATGTGTATCTTATCTTACAAGTCTAGCCCTGGAAAACACAGTACGTAGAGGCAGTGAATGACGTCACATCGCGACGGTTCAAACCATAAAACCTTTGTTTGAGTTACTCCCCCTCGATTAAATTGATTAAAACGTAGCGGCGACATATTGGCGAGCCTATGTCGGTATATTGACCTATTTCTACCTCCGGCAATCACATTAGACACATCCAATAGTTTTCCAGTGAAATCTATATCGACTACGAAAGTATCTCATAATACCTCTGTCTAGTTATTAATACGTTACTTATGTATTTGTTATATAAACATCTATGGAACTTTCTAGCATTTTATTGTTAAAAGCATAATAAATATACACAAAGTAAATAATTATGCAAGATATGTTAATCCTAAAAGCTCTATATAAACCTGAAGGTATTGTGGTTGACATAATTTGGCAGATTCTAGACCAATATTTTCACAAATGACCTTAATGATGCTGCTAAAACTTTACCTCGCTACATAACTAAGTCATCACCAAAAAAAAAAAACTAAGAAACTCACCAGTAGTAAGATCATGTCCGATGTCATCAACGGACACAATCTGTTCCTTCTCCTTGATCCAGTTCTCTTCATCAGCCATGTCCCAGTAGAACTGCCACAGCTTACGGCTGTCCTCCAGGCGCTTTCTGTTATGAAACAATAATATCTTGACTTAATTACACACATCACTACATAGTATAAAATCAAAGTCGCTTTCTCTGTCCTTAAGTGGCGCAATTTTCTGAAGAATAGTCATCACTTATGCTTTTTAAATTCGTCGTTATTTGGTTAAATTTTTGAATAAACCTATACAATAATGTAATATGTACCTGCGTTCGACGGCCAGATGTACGAGCTCAGCGTAAGCGTTCTCGAGTTGCTGAATGCGCTCCACAGTGATGGCGGGGTCGCAAGGCCTGTAGCCACCCTCTTCCTGCTCCAGGAAGCGTTGGGATTGTCCAACTACCACCTACGGGATAAACAAAGCATTTTTAACTCCTACTGCTAGTAAAAGACAGATAAAACTAAAAACTAACAGTTTATGTGATGAAAATGCAATGTAGCTATTCTTTTAAAATAATGTTTTATTTCGCAAGTGAAATGGATAGATCAATTTGATTGGTCGCAATAGGGACATCAAAAAAATCGTATAAAAAGAGCGACAAACTTACTATCAAAAACCTTTAATAAACATCCTTCACTGACCTTGACCCTCTCTCCAAGCACATTGATGTCAGCCTCTACAAGGGCGTGTTTCTGCAATAGATCCTCGACGCCCATCAGATGTTTGCCGTAGTCGTCCGTTAGCAGACGCATCTTGATCTCTTCCATGGAGTCCAGGATGTATAGCATCTCCTGTGTGTTGAGAATTATTTTGTTAATATGAAGTAGGAAAATTACTGAGCTGTATATTAAAATATACTATATTTTTTGGAACTGTACTAATAAATAACGAATGCACTTTTGGATATATTATTACAAACATGTTTAAACCAATGGCCTTATGGTGCGTAATTAATAATGTAATTTAATGGCCGTAAAGGTAAACAGGTAGACAAAAATCTATAACGATTTACAAAATTTAAGCTAATAGCAAAATTGTAGGTATTAAAAACATGTTATAAAGTTGTCCTTGCAAGAACAAACAGTGCCTATAAGGCTGAACACTGTATGACAAGTTAGTGTGTATAGTGACCTGGAAGTTCTGCTGCAGCTGTAGACTGAGCTCGAGACGGGCGCGGCGCGCGCGCAGAAGCTCCAGTAGGTAGGCCCACAGACGGAGCACGTTGTCGCGTCGCGCGCATACACGTTCCATGTCGTGGTATCTGCGAGAACATTATTGCCATTATACATAAAATTGTATAGGAATTTCTCTTGTACATTCCAGTTTTTAATAAGAAGAACCACAATTGAACATGTTAAAAAGACCTATAGCTCCCATACTCATTTATCTGTTCAATTCAATAGTTTGTGTCATTTGCATATCTTCTGAAATATAAAAATGAAATTATGTTCGTTAGTCTCGCTAAAACTCCCGGCTGGTCCATTTTGGATAATTTTGGTCTTGAATATTCGTTCAATTCTAGGAAAGGTTTAAAAGCTCAAAACATATAGTTATATTTGAGGCGGTAAGAAGTTCGCTACGATAGGTAGTTTATTATTAAATAATGTGACTCAATAATGTATTTGTATCTGAAACAAAAAAAACTTAGGTGCCATACCTCTCAGCCTGCAACTCGGAGCATACAGCAACGACAGCTTGCACACGTTCCTCATACGCGAAGATGTCAGTTTCGATAGCCTCGTGTTTCTTAGCCGCCGCCTCTACCGCCGCTAGGTCGAAGCCAAAGTTGTCCTGGCTGACCAGACGCTGGTTCTCAGACAACCAGGTCTCACGCATCTGAGCTTTGCGGTTGAATCTGGAACAAGTATTGTTTAATAAATAACTGTATGATAAAAGAAAATGCAAAATAGACAGAGTATATTATACCAATCCATGTTTTGTCCTTTCCTTATCCCAAAAAGCCAAGAAAAAGATGAAGATAGCTCGACATTTAAGAATAAACTAAGCAAGACTATTATCAAATATTAGGGATCTTAACGTTACACAGACAAAACAAAAAACATTAAATATTTTTTACTACATAGTTAAACTTTAAATGCCATCTATGTAATAATATCTCGGAAACGTAAATGTCAAACTTAGCTCTTTAGCTTTTAAATGTTTGTTTTGCGTGAACATGCTACGTCGTCGACGTAACTTTTTCTATTGCTGTTTTTTCCTTTTTTCTAACTCGCCTTACTCTTTTTGGATTTGCAATAATAACTAACCAAAAGAGCTGTACAAAATTGAAACTTCCTTGCAATATTTTAGGCATATAGCTGCTTGTTTTGTTTCCTGTAAGTCGACTTACCTAGCAGCCAGTTGTTCAAGTTTCTCCTGTCTGATGAGCTCCTCTCGCAATGCGAGTTCCCTCTCATGCTCAGATTTCTCGAGCCTCTCCCAAGCACGGTTGATGTCGTGGATCATCTTGCCCTCGCGAGGAGTATACGGCTTCTGGTTGGCGGCACGCATACGCGATTGAAGGGTGAATAAGAGAACTTCCAGGTTACCCTTCTCCACAAACCTAAAGGACGAAACAAAACATTTTTAATTGGAACTTCACAAAATGCTTTTGTACGCGCTTAAGTCCTCCTTATTATCAAAATGGTAAAATAATTGATTTCTTATCGAAAGAAAGAATGTGATATACTTAACGTGTATACAGGGAAATAGCATCCGGGCAACTCTTTACATGTACTGGTAAAGTGCAGTAGACAATGAATTTATCCGTGTGAAATTATTATAGATATTTAGTACACAACAAGTAAAAATCCTAACAATGCATCAAGTTGTTTACTTTCTCAGAAAAAATCTGTATGGGATTAGATGTAAACAACATGTGAAATTGGAATTGTTTATTTTTACTCGAACACAACAGACTACAATACACCATATAGGTAGGATAGGTAGGTAATAGATAAACTCAATGGAAATTCTTATTTCTGAACAGAACAATGTTCAACAACATCGTTTGAGCATTCTTTAGTATTTCCTACCATATATTAACAAAAATCTATTTAAATAGGTATCGAGTTTCATAGGCCTCATTTTGTAGTTTATAATTGCTTCAACCATACATAATGAAGTACACTTACTTGGGTGGTTTCTCCACAGTTCGGTAGTTAGCGAACTGTATAAGTTGCTGGCGCACGCCCTCCAGCGAGTTCGCGAAAGTTCGGTCGCCGAGCGCTTCGATGGTACGCTCGATCCATTGCAGGAGGTCGCTGAAACAAAGTTTTAATGATTTAACACCGATCTATGATTATTTAAGTTACTCAAAAAATACTTAAAAATTTAGTTACGTACCCACTTCAGATGCGTCGTCTAATGGGTTTAAGGGCCTTGTCGGTTTATTAGATGAGGGGGAAGGGGGGGGGACTTGTCTATAAAACGCAAGTATAGTATTTATAGTAGGTTATTAATACGAACCTGGTAAGCGATTCGTACTCCTGCATCATCTTGTCGTTCTCCATGGCAATGCCGACGACCTTGCCGATCCTCTTGCCCTGCACCGTTTCCTGCTTCATCTTACTGAAGTAGTGATAGTACGTCACCACGTAAGTGATGATTGACTTCTCGTCGGGGTGGTCGACGGCGATATCTGAGAAAAGGATAATCAAATTAGTATATTTAGTGCTAGTGAATAGTTCAAGAAATCAAGACAATTCTCTATCCCTTTGTTAGTTTTTTAAGCACAAATGCGCGTGTAAGTTTTAGCTACAAAACCTTGATACGACCATTGACAATTCCTTTAAACTTTTGACAAGCCGACAATAAGTTCTTCATACTACATAATAAATATGCATTTCATATTAACAGTTAAAACGATGACGTCACAATGTACATAATAACTTTAAAATTCACCTTCGGCATCCAACAGCTTGGTAAGTCCAAGTTTCTCCTCAGCGACATTGAAAGCATTGTTCAAATTGTGCATGGGATTGCTTCTGTGCAATTTGTCGAACTGAATGAGGTCGGGCCTGTGCTTGTGTATGATCGCGTTGAACGCGAGCCCGTCACGCCATGAGGTCGTAAAGTTACGGACGTTCACGTTGTTGTACCCTGCAGTCTTCATTTGACACCACAGGAGTAAAGCGTCCTTAGCTGATTTTGTCTCTTTGTTGTCTGTCTCTTCGATTGTGATGTCTTGAATCTGTTGTAGACAATTATAATAAGTAACAGGTTCAACTTTGACAAGGAAAATAATGTAGTAGGTACCTAAATAATAAAAGGCTTCTACCCAATTATTTTGTTTAGTTTGTCTAAGTTTGATAGTATAGGGTTTAAAATTCCTTCAAAGTGTACAATTTTGAAATCCAAGTTGAATAGTGTTCGTTTCTCTACAAACGAAAATATTTATAGCACAATAAACAAATAATAAACATGGATTTACATACTTCATGTTAATTTAGGTTAAACTACATGAGTCAATTTCCTTCCCTATTATGACCGACTATGATTTATTGGTGAGACGAATTATCCTAGTGTATGTATTCTATCATAAGGAAAAACTATAAGTATACAACATGTTTTACTAGCAGTTAACATTCCATAACCTATTGAAATCTAAAGTTATATAGATTTCAATAGGAATTCAATAGGAACAAAAATGAATAAACATAGACAGTTTAAGATCTCCATAGTGTAATCTATAGTTATCTACCAATGATTTATGTTTGTGACAAGCACAGATATAGAAATTACACAAACACGTTTATTAGGGACTATAATGGTACATAACAATTCAAATAATTAAGGTCTCACGCTAATATCGAACAGCCGTTTTTTGTTACTTCGATTAAGCTAATCGGTACTCTGAGACATATGTATCGCCATACAACCTTACTTTAGGTCGATCTCATGTAACAGTATGAATGATACACACAGACATTCGAATATTCTTAGTACATTAAATAAAATATTATGTTACCTGGAATCGCAAAATGATGGTCCAAATAAGACCGAGACTGAGCCTCGGGTTTCCATCTACGATGTCGTGAGATCCCATGTTCTCCAAATGCACGCGTTGTTCGCGCAAGAACTGCAACGCTTTATCCACATTCTCCAAGCAATGGATACGCATCTTGCCTTTTGTTGGACGTGGCTGCAAATGGAAAATATAAATGTTAGTATAATAAACATATTTTGAAATAAATAGAGGTGGAAAAATCATTTCATAACGGGATATATTTACTGTAGATAATTAGTTCATACCAAAGAAAAAGGAAGAAAGTATTGAAAGCATCATGAAATAATCACATGTAGATATGAATCAACCGTTTTGGTTCTTAAAAAATAAATCAGTCAACTCAAAGGGGAAGCTACGACTCACGACGCCAAGAATTTATTAATAGAGATGAAACTTAAATAGGCAATGTATTTAATATTGACATTAGCATCCTACTACTGGTTCTGCACTATTCTGCCGTCGTAATGAAGAATGCAGTAATCGACATTTTTGCAAAATTGATATTTTTATCGAAATGACGTTTTAAGACACGTATCTTACTATTGAGTAAAAAAATAAATGAAAAAAATACTTAGAAATCAATGAAAAACTAGTTAATAATGCAGTATTTGCATGAATTTGTTCGCTACTTGTTAATATAAATGCAGTAATGAACATGAACTAGGATAAAATGCAGTAATAATACTCGAAATACTAATTTAAAATGCAGTAATGTTTTTATCATAGGAATAAACGTAGTATTAGTTTAGACTTTCCTTAGCTCAAATGCAGTAAATGCTTACGCTGCATTTGAGTGTTGTGCGATTGATGACGCTGTGCAAGTTTCGACGTGTTTTAACTGCGCATACTGCATGTTAACTTTGTACCTCAGTCGGTGATCGTCACGCGCACTCGACGCACGCTCGTGCGGCGCAGCATTTGCAGATCTCAATTGGCTTGTTATCGTTTTACTTGGTAAGTACAGTTATGTATAATTACAATTTATGTATATTTATATGTATTTTTTTAAAGAACTGGCTAATTAAAGTAAAATTGTATATTTTAAGCTTTCAATATATAATAAGGACGTTATCCTTGCGTATTGTGTCTATTGATTGATTAGAGAGCGGCTAATATCGATATTGTTTCGTGAGTAATTGTCATCATAAAACAGTTTTGATTCTATCAATTAGAATATATCGCATAAAATAAATTATTTAGACTTTATTATATTTATAATCGATATTGTTCAATATTAATGGGTAATTCTTAAAATTGGGTTTGGCGCGTAGTAACGGATAGATCGTAGTTAATATATTCACAACATTGTAAAATTTTCACTGATTGATTTGTTAATGTCCGTATCGTATGGTAGGTACTTATGTAGGATTACCGTTCGTGGAGGTTATGAGATTGAAGGAATATTTAGAGTGCCCCTGTGTTTACGCAAATACTTGTGCATGTGCATTATAACATATCCTGCGTATATTAGCTTTAGTCTTTGTTGACCGAAAAAAGGACGTTATTATTACTTTAATGTCCGTAATTTTGACATGTCGTTTGTTCTTCTTTTGCTAGAATAAATTTAATGACCACTGTGTTTCTTCGTAGGTAAAATGGCTTCGAACAACTTCCGAGCTAGAAAATTAGTACATATGGTAGTAAACACTGACGTCTGCCACGATAATTCTGTGCGGAATACTGAGCTGAGCACAAGTACGTTAACTATTGAAATTGAACCTGAGGATACTAAAAAATCTGAGGATGAAATTTTTACGGATCGTCAGGATATCGCTTCATCACAGGACGTGGTTAATGCAGATTTCTCATTAAACTTGTCATCAGCTGCATTGGGAGATATACGAGTTTCAGATTATTCTTTTTCCAAAGATGAAAGCTTTGGTTTGTTGTGTAATGAGACACTGACACATTCTCTTATGGGCAGTCCAGTTGCTGATTTTGGCACAGAAGATGAACCTACCACCTCGCAAGGTCTTCAAGAGATCGAAAACCAGAGAAGTAACGAAAGCTGTCCGGACGTAGATAATGCACCAACAACATCGAATAATCAAATTCTAGTAACTGATTCAGTTATGCAAAATGAAGATAATGAAGCCGCAAACAGATTAGTGTGTGATGCTTTAAAGGGCACAACAAAAAAAGGAACACCAAGAATTAGGAAACTGTATACAGAATCTACAAACACTAGAAAAGAAGCAAAAAAGCAAAAAAAAATTGAAAAGTTCTGTGTTAAACCAGCATGCACTACATCTTGCAAAAAAAAATGTGGAGAGAAATTTTCAGAGTCAGACCGTATGAATATTAACCAACAGTTTTGGGGACTTAATTACGAAAGTCAAGGATATTATATTCAGTCATTAATAAAGAAACAACTCGTTAACAGACGCTTACAAATTAGTACCTTATCTCGTAATAATACGTTCAAATATTTTTTGGAGAAAGCGAACGAAAAATTTGAAGTGTGCAAAATATTCTTTTTGACTACTTTGGGTTATAATAAAAAAAATGACCGGCGAATATTAGATGCTATAAAAAAACCATGGAATGCTCAAACTGACAAACGTGGGAAAAGAGAGCACAAAGAGAAGATAGATAGAAATCAATTAAAAGAGCATATTGAAAGCTTTAGGCCTGCTATCGCACATTATCGGAGAAAACATGCACCAAACAAACGATACTTACCTAGTGATCTAAATGCGACTTTAATGTTTAAAGACTTCCAAGACAAATTCCCTGATATCAAGGTTTCTTATGAATTATACAGACATTTTTTAAAAAAGGACATGAATATTTCTTTTACTCTTTTGGGCAATGAAGAATGCGAGGACTGTGAAAGTTTTAAGTTACACCAGCCCACATGTCAAGATTCCGCATCCTGTGATACCTGTATATCATATAAACTACACAAGCAAAAATACGAGAAGGCACGGAAATGTTATCAAGAAGATGTTGATTTATCGACCAAATTCACAGAAAAAGCTTTTTATTCAGCAGACTTGCAAAAAGTCATCATGTTGCCACGTATTGATATGTTTAAAGCTGCTATTTTTTGTCCCAGAATAATAGCTTTCAACGAGAGTTTTGTACCTTTGGGGCCTACTAAGTCAACCTCTCAGCCATTCGCCGCAATATGGCATGAAGCCATATCAGGACGAAAACAAGAAGATATAATAAGTGCTTTTAGAGCGTTTTTCATCTGCAAACGCGACAGTACTGACATAGTAGTATGGGCCGACAACTGTTCCAGCCAGAATAAGAATTGGGCATTTTTCTCATTTCTTATTCAGATAATTAACAGCTCTTTGATATGTGCCAACACGATTACCATTAAATATCTTGAATCAGGACATACTTTTATGTCAGCCGATAACTTTCACCACCAGGTTGAACAACAATTAAAAAGAGCAAAAAAAGTTTATGATTTCTCAGACTTCATTGATTGCATTCAGTTAGCTAATTCCGGAAAAGTAACAGTGAAACCTATGGAAGTTACTGATTTTTACAAGTATATTGATCATTCATCGCAGCATAAATTGAAAAAGAGCACAAATCGGATATATTTGAAAGATATTGTTAGTGTCGAGGTGCGTAGGAATAATTTTAATTTATTTGTAAAGACCGAACATGATGGTGAACTCCGAGAAATAGGGTTCCTAAAAATGAAACACATAAAGTCTCATTCAATTCCCGATCCCATACAAAATTCAAGTCCTAGGGGTATCACTGAAGCTAGAAAATCTGCAATTATTTCAACGCTCACTAGAGTTATTCCAGAAAATAGACTACCATTTTGGCAAAACTTGCATACCAATGACAATTCAATTGATCTAGTTAATATTTTAGATGTAGATGATTGTGATGAGTAAAGACTGAACTTGCATTTAAATTAATACATTTTAAGACTTACAAAGTGCCATTATTAGCTCTAAGTTCTTTATTGTTTTAGTTTTTAGGTGGGAGCTGAGATCCCTATTTGTTTTTGTTTGTAATCGGGAGCAGCAGTCCCGTTTGAAGCATAACGTTGATTATATGAATGTTGATTGTTTTATAAGTTTATATGATTAAAAGCCTACTAGACCTTGTGAAGGTCTCTAAATAAAAGTATTCGAATTTTATTTTTTTTATTTTTACACACTATCCTAAATTCAAGGGTCTAAAATATTTTGTACTGCATGTATATAATAGTATTTATTTTGACTTTACTATTCCTTTTACTAACACAAAATGCAGTAAAAAGTATTTGCTAGACATGAATGCAGTAATAAGCACAAATACTGCATTTCACTTTGTGATAGACTATAATATCCATTAGTAACACAAGGTTGAAATGCAGTAGTCAACTTTATAAATAACCTAAACCAAAATTAAATATTTGAAATTAAAATATATAATGCATAGTAATAAAATATACGTATTAGTTACAAATTTAAATACATTTGATTTCCAGACGACTAGAGATAACAAGAAATCATTTAACCGCGTTTTTCTCGAAACCGCGAAATTGCAAGTACTGCATTTACGATTACGACGGCAGTATTGCCATTCACTATTCAAAAGTAAGCGTATAGGTAGATGGGAGTTGGATATAATCCTAAGATCTTTATGGATTAAATATGAGCGAGTAAGCAACTGAATTTCAAGACTTGACACGATTAGAAGCCAACATGTAAACGATGTATTCATTACATTTGGGACTAACTCCATAGTCAAAATGAAAAACACACCTAACGAGGTGTGTGTGCCGAAGAAACAGGGCCATTTTGAAAGATAATAACGCCCAACAAAACACACACGTTTTCCTACTAAGAGGGCATACACAGATAGCTATAAAGCCATTTTTTACATGTTTGGGCAAAACGTTTATCGCGGAACGACCAAGACCATGGCGAGAGTGCGTGACTTCAGGCCATGCTAACTAACAGATAGGATAAAATAAACTTTATAGCCGCATTACATGATGAAAGGTGACAGCCGCGTGATGTTTGTCACGATGTTCAATACTGAACCATTAATCATGGTGCTTTGCTATGCTCTGCGGCAAGAAGTTTCTCTTTATTCGAGCGGCATCATTGACAGCTCTTCGCTAGAGTTCAAGCAATTCATTGTTGATTGGACTGACTGGTGTACAATGGAACAATTTAATTGAAATGACAAGGCAACTAAAATAGACCCCACGTCAGAATTATTGAAAAATGTTAACTTAAACTAAGAAAATACGAGTATTATGCTATAAAATACATTTCGTATTCCCCGACAATAACCTTAGGACGTCTGCATAGGTCGTAAATAACAGAACAGTGGACTATAAATAATGCAGTACGTTCTACCGAGAGCAAATACAAGAATTCAAAATACATTTTGGCTTAGTCGCTTAGCCGAAGCCAGGAGAAGTCCGGTTCTACAGGTCGAAGCTGCCTATTGTTTGCTTTTTATCCACCTACGTGTAAGAACTTCAATTTTAACATGGATAACAATGAGAGGCACTAAATGACTTACGCGATTTTGTTTACGGGTGATTGCTTTTGTCTGGACTTAGGGTAAAGGCTTACCTCGAACTTTCATTATCAATGCAATTCTTGCGTCATAGCTTCACTACAGAATAGATGTACCTACGTCCTTTATTACCATGTCATTTTTCGGTATCAGATAAACCAGAATTTACTATACAAAATGACATTTCAATTTCTGATCTTTACGCATTTTTCCAATGAAGATCACTGGCTGGTCAAGTAAATTCTCACATAAACAAAAGTAGTTTAACGGCTGTACCAGTTTTCTACTTTCATTAAAGGTTCCCACAACCCATATAAAGTTTAATGAGGACATGAAAATGTTATATATAGTGCTGCAGTGAGCGTATCGTAAATTTTATGGGCAAGTTTAATATTCATTTATTTTGTTAAAGTTCTCTTAAAATATGATTATAATTTTTTATTGCAAATGAGTTAAGCGTATGTGCATGGTGCAGGGCAGTGTCGTGACGCATTTAGTTATCAGTAAGATAAATACCAACATCGCATCAATAATATCATACTTACTTTGCACAATAACGGTTTGTCATCTACCTACCCGAAAAACCCTACCCATTTTTACAAATTGAATTGTGTATGTTCAACTTTGAGAAAGATGTCTAAATATTTTATTTCTTATTAATTCTTTAAGACGATGGAGTATTTGAGTTAGTCCAAATAAACACATTAAGGCGTATACTGTTAAAAGACGAGTAAATCGCCTACAATGATATGGAGCGTAAAGGTTAATCATGTCACATCTTTACATCATAAGTACCTTACAGATGGTTACCCCAACTCTTGTTAGTAAGTGTTACCTTCCGCGTCCGTCTAGACGTGCTAAATATGGTTGGAAACGACGCTAATGTAATTAGAAGTAGCCAGGCAAGAGTTACTGATTAGAATTCAAAGGGTCGTATGTATGTAGAAAATAATTTATTCTGATCAAAGCTGTAAATATGGGTTGAAGAAGAAGCTTCTAGTGATCATACATATGATGGGCAATGAGATGTAAAATGTGTCTGCGTACGTGAGTTACCCACCAATCTTTCTCCGGAAAGCACTTCGAGCAATTTGATGAGTTGCTTGCCATCCCTCATGTCGACGTACAGGTCGCTGATACGGCATCCGACGCGTACCAAGTGAGAGTTCACCCATTTTTGAAAAGTTTTCTTCTGCACACTTTCTCGTTCGTCTGTCAAAAAGTATCATTTGTTAGTTCTTCATAGTTCAAACATATGGCGAATAAATTTTATATAATAAGCAGGCCCCAAAACCTTCACCGTGGGATCAACAATCACTGTTGTTTATAAATACGACTAAAGGCCCTAAAAATACGACTTATACAATTTCGATAAAATACTCTAACACACAGACCTGAAAACCAAAAATAATGGACATAATAAATGCTCATAAAAATTAAAAGAAAAACGATAAAAATAATGTAGGGAATGTTAACACATTAACCGCCAGTGGGGACGACCGCGTCGCGGCGACCAGATAGCTGGCTTCGCGGGTCGTATCTCTGGCTGTGGAGGCTCCTGCCCGTCCGGGATCACCGTCGACATCGTAATAACTCACACGACAATACTCCAATGAGGTGTTAGGTTCGGAATATAATATGTGTAATTCGAGACATAGATCAGATTGCTATTCGCAGGCTTCAGAGCGTAAAGAACAGTCCTAGATGTGCAGGGTGTTGTACTGAGGTAACATTTTATTTTTTATTGTCTAAGGTCTACAATCTCAATTCTGCAAGATTAAAACTTCCTTGAAAGTAACTAATATAGCCAACTGGCTTTTGGAAATGAAAGCTTATGCCTATGAATGTTCTATGCAATTGAATTTGATTAATAAACAACCCTTTTTTTTGTATTTTAAAATAAATAACGACTTCGGCGCATTGAAACTTTATTAACAGCATAAAGCTGTTGTCACTAACAAAACCAGTGTGGAGCCACAAGGAAAATGAAATAGGAAACTTATAATATTAATAGGTATTTGGTTTAAAATAGATACATAAAAATGGATAGATATTCTAAAAAATAGTCACAAAAATCTTGTTTAGATTAGATCGAAGTCATCGACACTTATCTGTCTATCCGCCAGGAAAACAAAATCCCAAACTGACGCAATCCAATTCAAGGTAGGCACAACACTGAGAAACACTGATGACACAACACTACGAACCTCTTAGTTCTATCACGACTTTGTCATAATACACGTCTAATCCGGGCACTTCGATATCCACTCCTTTTTTAATCAGCTCGTATCCCTCGGTGGATGTCATGTCGCCAGCGACGAGCGGCGACTGAACCAACGTACCAGGCCAAAGACGAGAAGAATTAGAGCGACAAAATTCAACTACCACTGGACAAGGATATTCGATACCAATGCGCCAGATGTCGACAACTCAGGGCAGGTTTTATTTATTAGCACATTCGTCACACCGTCGATAGCGTTGCTACACATTTGTGTTAACAACTAACACTACATGAGACGCGATCAATTTTTTAACAAATATTACCCAGGTTACGGCCAAAACGGCAATTTATGATTGGTTCAACGAGAAGATTCGGTTGAAATAACAGATAACGCCATCAATGATAAGAATAGTCGTCAGGTATCGTGAAATCGATACTTTAACTTAACCTGAGTTTAAAGTTTTTTTACGGAAAGGCAGTTTATAGTTTTATAGTTTATAGTAAACCAATTGTTTTAAACCCCATCTTTTAATAGGGAAAAACGGATGCTGCGGTTCGCAATGTTTGATAAGCTACATTAAGTACATACATATTTATATAAATATAGCAATGTTATGGATGATATGGTTTTAATTACATAATTCTAGATGCATGTCAAGGTTTCGACCTCTGAGATGTTATCTAAAACTAAAATAATCCTACATTCTGAGATAAGTCTATTTGCATGCACCGGTCATTGAACCTAGCGTTACTATGAAGTAACAATGAAGTCTTACAAGGTTCATGTTTAATTGGCACAAAATGTTTCAGTATTTATCTATGTATCGCTCCCGTTTCTGTAACCTTATCGAAGCAATCGGCATAATCTTATCAATAAGTGAACTGACACATATTTCAACAATCTTTACTTGGTTCTAGTAATTAATTTCTATAATATCGATACATGTATGTATATAGATAGATATTCTTATGACTTCAGAGAGCTAGCTTACTACTTATGAAAGATTTTCTCCACATCGTTTAGAAGTTCATTATTCCTTGGCATTCTACTTGTACATTGATGACTTTCAGGTTATAAGTACAGTGTCGTTATAGCCAAGGTAAAAGGTCGACAGACAAAAGGCTTTCGACGTCATGTCAGCCGGAAGATTCCTACTGTTGAGTACAACACCTACGCAAAGCGATGGGGTGGATGAAAGCCCACCGTCGCTATTCATAGAGGGTAACACAAAAAGGTTTGTTTCATGGTAGTTTTATGATAGCTTGGTAAACGAAATTCGGGAGGAGGTATTACGAGTATTGCTGAATATTGCAAGGTACTGTTACAAAGTTATGAAGAAACTATGTATTAACTTTGGCATTGGTATGAACTTTATACCAGAAAGAAAATAAGATGTCGATGATGCTTCACCTAAACAACTGGAAATACAATAAATACTGTAACCTAGTTTTTATCACTGCATGTGTAGAACTTGTGAAGAACATTTCAGCACAGGTATTTGAGATACCTGTGCTCTAATGTAGGTACTTAAAAGGAGAACTTTGCACACAAGTTTTAGAGATATGTATGATTTTGATTTTTTCTATTTTATTTCTTTATTTATTTATTTATTTTTTGTAAGACTATTTAATTGATCGTGCATTTAAATTGAGTGGATTTTGCACGGGGATTTATTAACCTTGCTATTGAAACCCAAAATGTTCTCGTGAGTATTTTTTTTATCATGGAGCATAAAGCAAGAATCTACGTAAGTAATAGGAGTTCTAACAACCCACCTGCTAACGCCTTAATGCGCGATCGTTCGAATAGCCTCGACGACGAATTGCCGCCATCGTACTCGAACTCGTCGATGATCTCCTGACCATGGCCGATGGACGGGTCCCAGCGGGACACCGATATGTCGGTCGTCATTGCGACCAAACTCTACCTCACCGCCACGCTCAACTATCTGGAATGACCAGAAAACACTCATTAGGAATTTACCACAAAGATATCAAAATCAACCGCAGACTCATTAAGAAACAACATTTGAATTACAGAAAAGTTTAATACAAAAGATAACCACATGACAACAACAATACAAGTAATAATAATATTAGAGGGTTACCAAAGAAAATTTTATTAATTTGTAATTATATATATTCTACGGCAATTTTTACATAAGTATTAACAATGTTAAACTATTGAAAGAGTATTAAAAGGCAGGTAGGAAAGACAAAAATATCGTCCCCAAAATAGCTGTGACGGCAACTCAGTCGACACACCCTAATCCAGTGACCGGTGACAATATCATCCTTGCGAGAGGGTTGTTTTAACGGTCACCGAGTCGCTTGTCAAGCGATCAATTTACTCGTACCTTTTTTGGCTTCCTACCTACATACGGTATTAGAGCCAAGCTAACTATCGATAATCTGGAACACCATAGAATCTAAACAAAAATGGATTGGAATTCGTTTGTTGACCTGACTTATCGATGACGATAAGAAATTCTCAGACATTTTTTGTTGTTGTTTTTAGCGTCAACAATTACCTAAATAGTTACTCAACTAGGTTAGGGCTGCATTTTTTAGTTATAATGTTCATGTTCGCATTTTCATTCCCCTATATCATGTAGGAAATAAGTACTTATTGTCATTATGTTGAGTATGGACTTGTACAGATTACCAATATCTTCATAAGTATTCTAACAGCACTTAATTTCTAGAGCCATTTTAAGTGCTTCAGCGGAGATAGCACCAGATCGATACTGAACTATGTCACACAAAATACTTATTATTATTTAATTAAATAATGTAGTAACAAGACATCCTGAGATCATTTTTAAGTCTGACAGTCCAATCATTATACAGATACTTATCGATGAATTTGGAACCAAACTCATAAATGATGATATCAGAATACACACCAAATATAGACGAATGGACCTTGATTTGTAACTTATGAATTGAATCACATTTATATTTAAATAAATATGACCGTTTCTACTTTGATGCATTTTTATTTAAAGTCATCCGATCGAATAGAAATCCACTTAGTTCAATGTCAACATAATACTGGATTATTATTCGATTTTAAAACCATGAACATTGTATTTGTGGTTTACGACTTTCCCCATCGACAGAAGCCAAAACTTATGCAACTATTTATTGTTTACGTTACCTTGAATTTTCCGAATAACAACCGTTAATGTGATCACTAATATAACAACAAAACGATTTCACAAAAAAAAACACTAAGAATTGCATTCACAGTCCAAAGATAGAGTGTTCTATAATATTTTTGTTATTCCGAATGACATCACGTTGCCGGTCGGCGATAAGATTAGATAACTGCTTTCAAGACTAATAGCCGCACCTAAGTGGCTGAACCAAGTCGATGTGCCATTTTATTAATGTTATAATAAAAATACACGCAGTATCAATTTGGAGCCAGAGGCGAAATCCTAGTATGTATCTGTTTGATAGGTAAATACTAGGATTTCGCCTAAGCCAAACACCATGTTAATTAAACAAACAGTGATAATTTTGACACATTGCAGCTAAATGTCTAAAGTTACTTCTCTTAACACTCGCTCGCGTGAGGAATTTGCATAAGAACCTGTTTCGAAATAAAAGCGTTAACGTACAACAGGATCAATAATGTGAGGTTGCGTAACTCCATGACTCATTAAAGTACTCCGGTGCGGAATCGCCACATTCAGATTTCTTGTTTACGAACTGCCTCCTCATACAATAACGTTTTAAATTATAGCTGTGGATGATATTACTCACTGAGGTTACAATTAAACGTTAACCTTGACAAATTGAAGATAATTTGAGCGCTTCTACTTTTTATTCGGCATAATTGTTGATAGCGGTGGCTGGGTATCGTTGACGTAATGTGGCGATACACTGTGCTGTTCAATGGTCAAGAAATACAGCATGAAATGAAGCGTTATTATAAGCAATAAAAGGCAACCGATCTAAGTAAGTCATGAATTTTACTCGTAAACTCGGTAAACGATTTGTTCACGTTATTTGGTAAAACGAATATAATTCAGTCGCGCATTGAGGGTGACCTTCTCGCATAATGGCTCAGTTAACGAAGGTCCCTCGAGTTGACAGCCACAATAGAAATCTATGTCGTTGCTGTGACCACATGAATTACGCACGCTTAGCTCTCTTATTATCGGGACAGGCTTATCTTTCAACAAAGCATAATGAACAAGGATATAAATATGAATGTAGAACTGCTTAGAAATTATCATTTGACACAGAACGGTTGGCAGCACTTTCTGAGGATACACAAGAAAAAATTGCCCTTCGTTAGGATAATAATTCATGTCTAAGATAACCCAATAAAGTCAATGAAGTCTGAATTTAGAATTTAAACAATGGATCTTTTACATGGTCTCGTATTCCAGTGAGAATATTGCCAGACAGACGTCACTTTGAGAAAAAGAAACAATTCACATAGTTTTTGTTATATACCCAACAGAACTGAGAACACGCAATGCTGCAATACCCAGACAAACATATCTTATGCGAAATCTGACAAGATTGTGGGTCACAAAAACATACAAAGTAGGTAATTTTGTGATGTTTTTATCAATCGTACAATTATTATCGTTCTAAATTAGTCAGATTAAAGCAGTGCTGAAACAAAGTACCTATAGGCACAGCAGAGTATGAAATTATAAAAACTTAAAAAGGACTGTTGTAAAAAGAATACGAGCAAATTAAGATTAGCGTATACAAATTATGTAGGTATTAATTGCAAATCCAATTGGTTCTCTGTGTTAATAAAACACACTGATCAAATAACAGAACTGCATAGTTCCAAGAACACAGTACATAGTTGTTCCACAGGGTATCAATAACAAACAATATACCATTACAACATAACTGCTTGGAGTTTCGCACTTTCCATCACGTAGCGGATCCGTCACGAAGTCCTATTTACATAAGATAATTAGCATTCTATTTATAAGTAACACCCATTCTCATGGCGCTATTTACCTACATACTGTTAATAGGGATGATTAATGCATTAAAAACTACACAATATTAAATAATTATTTAAATTTATAAGTACAATAAACCCAGATCCCAAAGAAGAAAGTCCAAGCATTGCTAGCTGGAATAAAAATAACGTAAATCAAAGTAGATATAATTTTTGATAACTGCATGTAATAGGTATTATTCATATTCATACATATACCTAGCACATAATCCTGCTGTAGTATTCTAGCCAATCGATACTCTAGCTTCACCTTAGAAAGAATTTCAATGTCATTAAACAATACTTTGAACCCAGCTCAAATTATACCGGTTTTGCTAATGTGTTTATCAACGGTAACCGTTTTCGAGACAACAGACAGCACCTTATCAAAAGATGGCGCACTAAACGCCATAGTCAGACCAAGGAATGCATTGTTAAAGAGTTTTTGTGCAAATAGTGAATAAAAAGTGATGATGCATCCTGCCCTACATATTTATTTGACGACGTCAGCAAATTGAACATAACTAACAAATATACATATTTGGGCCGAATTCGTTAATCTAATTTTAAGTATATTATAGCACAGATAGATAAAGATAAATAAATCTACAAATTATTTTCGAAAGAGAAATAACTAACTCTTCCACCCTCATGTAATTTCCAGATTAATCGTTTGGGGATTTACTGAAGATCGGACGTATTTCATACAAAAATTCAAGGTTAGAGGCGAATAGATATCATTTCACGGTCAGTGTTTGTTTGATATTACGTGGGTTCTGAATTAATTTACATTAGTATCACCACTGATACGCTTTCGCCTTATTACATAAATATGTGTGGGAAGACAAAATGAATAAATCTGAACTAACACAATACAGCAGACGAGTTTCATGCATGATTGACGAACTGTTATAACTGAATTCCGACGATTGGCACAGAATCCGGAAGTAGGTAGTCAATTTACCTAAATTCGTGGCCATATTCTATTACAGCATTTTTCTATTAAGTTTTTTTTCTATCTTAATAAAACTTTGTGCAAAATTATCGGTCTTTTAGAATTCTATAATATCTCCAAGACTATTGCAGACAAAGGACCTATTGAAAACAAAACTAATCTTACATATCGAACAAATAAAACTAAGTTGCTGCATGAACTAATACGAAACTGTGTTAGTATTATTACATAAAGTTTAGATTAAGCTAACTCGAATCAAGCAACAAAAGTCGAACAAGGCAAGTGTAACGAATAGGCAAGTCGACGAGGCCGTTGACCTCGGCAAGTAGACATGGCGTCGTCGATACACCATAGCACACCATAGCCAGCCATTACAATCATGGGAGTACGTAATGGGGTATTCACGATGAAAATAAATACAGCATTTTTTAATAAACAATGAGTTGTGATATGAAATCAGAAAACAAAAGCGCAAACAAAACGTTTCAGTTTCTGAACATCATTACATAACATCAATCACCCTAACGGCGAATTTATTACGTTATACACACCTTTGATATTTAGCTGTGCCTCGATTTGGGGCGTTGTCTACCCTTGAACTCGTATACACACCTAAACTCTAGCGCGTTTGAGCCCAGCCTAAATCATACCACATGCCAGCTTATCTCTTAAAGACAGGTTCATAAGTTTCGATACGAAAAATTACTTCTATAAATCACACGTTTGTTTCTGGGACGATGTAGTTTCGATTAAGTAACTCAAACTTTAGTAATAGATTCTATTCTTAAATAAATATTAGTTTTTTATAGAAATTCTGTTTATTAGCGCTGATATAACCTTCCAAAATTATAGTTGTAAGACTCCGTAAAAAACACTTCCTTGAACGTTCATCAACTCAAGTATTCTGTCATGTTCAAGTATTCTGTCATGTTCTTATCTGAGATCATAAAGAGCGTACTAAGACAGTAACAAATAGTCCAGGTACTCAGGTACTGGCTTCGGCCCTCCCCCAA